GCACCGTCACTCCCTTCCCGTACTACGAGTGCTCCACGGATTCGAGCCACACCGCAGCAACGCCAAGGCCTTCAAGTCCCTGCAGCTGAGGAGGAAGGAAGGGGGAAGAGGAGAGTTCAACCCCCTAATAGGCTGACCTATGATGCGCCGGGAAAGCAGAGCAAGACAGCCCTGGCCGGAGCGGCAATGATGGTCGGAGACGACGAGGAGAGTGACTACGAGGAGTGTGCCTTCGCGTTCTTCTCTCCGGTGGAGATGCCGGGAGAACCAGCAACTCTCAAGGAGGCTTTGGAGAGTAGTGATGCTGAGGAGTGGAAGAAGGCCATGGAGAGTGAGCTGAAGAGCATCGAGGAGAATGACACGTTTGAATTGGTGGAGCTACCGGAGGGGCGTACGGCGATAACGTCCAAGTGGCTCTTCAAAATCAAGTCGGATGCCGACGGCAAGATCGAGCGCTACAAGTCTAGGCTTGTAGCCAAGGGGTACCAGCAGAAGGATAAGGTGGACTTCAAGGAGCTGTTTGCCCCTGTGGTGAAGCCGACGACGCTGCGAACCCTATTCGCGGGAGCCGCCATCAAAGGATGGGTAGTAAAGCAAATGGACATCGTAACGGCATTCCTTAACGGCATCCTTGAGGAGGAGATTTTTATGGCGCAGCCAGAGGGGTTTGATGATGGTAGTGGCAGAGTGTGGAAGCTGAAGAAGGCCCTCTATGGGCTGAAGCAGGCCCCTAGGCAATGGTACATGAAGCTGCGCGAAGTGTTGGAGGGGATCGGCTTCACTCCCTCAACGGCCGATCACTCCTTGTTCATGCTTGGCGAGGGGGAGCAGAGGAGTTTCATGGTGGTTTATGTGGATGACATCCTCATTTTCTCACCCTCTTCTGACCTTGTGAAGGAGGTGATGCTGAAGCTTCAAGACAAGTTCAAGTGCAAGGCCCTTGGTGACGTGAGCTTCTAACTTGGGCTCCACATCGAACGAGATGTGGAGAAGCGGTGCATGCGGGTGCATCAACGAAAGTACCTGGAGGCATTGGCTGCCAACTTTGGGCAGAGTGAAGGCCATGTGGCTACACCCTTTCCCTCTGGGTTCAAGTGTGTGAAGGGACCAGAGGAGGAGAGCGTTGGTGAAGAGGAGAGGCGCCGATTTCACTCGTTGGTGGGCAGCCTCATGTATGCGGCGGTAAACACCCGACCGGACGTCGCGTTTGCTACCGGGCAGCTGGCTAGGGTTGTGCAATGCCCTAATAAGGAGCAGGTAGCAGCTGGAATGAGGGTGGCCAAGTATCTTGGCCAAACACCGACCGTTGGGCTGCAATACTCGGCGGCGGCACGAAGGCGCCAAAAGGGCGCGGATGGTGTTGAACCCGGGCGTTTGTTCCTCACCGCCTACTCGGATGCTTCATATGCATCAGAACCAGAGGACATGACAAGTGTGGGAGGCTTCATATGCTGTGTTGGTGGAGGCCCAACTGCTTGGGAGAGCAAGAAGCAGGTTGACCAAGCTTTGAGCTCGGTGGAGTCCGAGTACATGGCACTCTTCCGTGCCGTACGGGAGATTGTGTGGCAGCGGCGTTTGTTGGCTGAATTGGGGGAGGAGCAGCAAGGACCTACCCCACTGTACTGTGACAGCCAGGGTGCCATTGCTCTTGCTAAGAACCCTGTGTTGCATGGACTCACGAAGCACATGAGAGTGAAGTGGCATTGGACGAGGAGCATGGTAACCGCGGGTGAAGTTGAGTTGCGCTACGTGAAGACCACGGGGCAGCCGGCTGACATGATGACCAAGAGGCTGGTGGAGCAGCAGCATTGGAAGTGTTGCAAGCTGGCTGGGATGGCTCTGAACTGAGAGAGCAACATATCCTAAGGCCAACAATCCGAGGGGGAGTTTGTTGGTGCAACCCTACGGTTTGCACTCGGCTTGTTGTCCGTGTGCGTGAATGTGTGTGTGTATGGAATGGTATGAGGGCATGGGATAATATATATTTCATGCTTATAATTGTGTGTGAATGTTGAGTCATGATGTCGAGTGTGTGTGTCGAGTCAATAGCGAGTTATCGCTAGACGCGTGTTACGCGGTCGTTTGTGTCTCGCGCGCGGTTTCTATTTTGTCGTGCGCGGTTTCTATTTTGTCCTGTGTCGAACGTTCGGCGTGTCGCAGGTGTGTGCAGCAGACCCATCAATAACTCAAGGATGAGTTTGTGATGAAGAGCCCGAGCCTTGGTGTCAAGCCTCAAGTGATTTCGAAGCTTGCCAAAAGGGTACACCTCAAGATATTGAAGATAGTTACATTACTTTGTGTAGTGTAACATTTCACTTGGTGTAGGCCCTAGTGAAGGGTAGTTTCGAGACCCTTCGTGGTTGGGGACAGTGTGGCACTGTTCCACATCACTGTACCTCGGCTCTTGGGGTTTGTAGGAGCTGGGAGTCATTCCCAACTCGTAACTCTTCCTATCTTGTGTTCTAAGACTATAGTGGCTGCCATAGTACCGTTCGTTCAAACCGACGCTGTCGTCAATTCTTTATCAAATCGTGCAATCTAAATTGCTAATTGTAGACGACGTGAAGACGCTCCAGATCCAATTTGAATCAAGTCATTTGCAGCTGTGAGCAGAACGCTATCAACGTTTGAAGCCGCTGTGCAGAAATCCGTCTGTGCTCTCTATCTTTCGTTTTAGGCACATTCAAGCCTATTGTGACTATAACACACTGTGCCTCACACACTCTAATGCACCTGGAAGAGCAGCAGGCGGATGCAGAGCTGTTCCTCGGTGCACGGGCCGAAGAGGCTTGAACCAACAGGCCGTGAACATACATACATGCACTGTGCCTCACACACTCTAATGCACCTGGAAGAGCAGCAGGCGGATGCAGAGCTGTTCCTCGGTGCACGGGCCGAAGAGGCTTGAACCAACAGGCCGTGAACATACATACATGCACTGTGCCTCACACACTCTAATGCACCTGGAAGAGTAGCAGGCGGATGCAGAGCTGTTCCTCGGTGCACGTGCCGAAGAGGCTTGAACCAACAGGCCGTGAACATACATGCACTGTGCCTCACACACTCTAATGCACCTGGAAGAGCAGCAGGCGGATGCAGAGCTGTTCCTTGGTGCACGGGCCGAAGAGGCTTGAACCAACAGGCGGTGAACATACATACATGCACTGTGCCTCACACACTCTAATGCACCTGGAAGAGCAGCAGGCGGATGCAGAGCTGTTCCTCGGTGCACGGGCCGAAGAGGCTTGAACCAACAGGCCGTGAACATACATACATGCACTGTGCCTCACACACTCTAATGCACCTGGAAGAGCAGCAGGCGGATGCAGAGCTGTTCCTCGGTGCACGGGCCGAAGAGGCTTGAACCAACAGGCCGTGAACATACATACAGGCACTGTGCCTCACACACTCTAATGCACCTGGAAGAGCAGCAGGCGGATGCAGAGCTGTTCCTCGGTGCACGGGCCGAAGAGGCTTGAACCAACAGGCCGTGAACATACATGCACGCACTGTGCCTCACACACTCTAATGCACCTGGAAGAGCAGCAGGCGGATGCAGAGCCGTTCCTCGGTGCACGGGCCGAAGAGGCTTGAACCAACAGGCCGTGAACATACATGCACGCACTGTGCCTCACACACTCTAATGCACCTGGAAGAGCAGCAGGCGGATGCAGAGCCGTTCCTCGGTGCACGGGCCGAAGAGGCTTGAACCAACAGGCCGTGAACATACATGCATGCACTGTGCCTCACACACTCTAATGCACCTGGAAGAGCAGCAGGCGGATGCAGAGCCGTTCCTCGGTGCACGGGCCGAAGAGGCTTGAACCAACAGGCCGTGAACATACATGCACGCACTGTGCCTCACACACTCTAATGCACCTGGAAGAGCAGCAGGCGGATGCAGAGCCGTTCCTCGGTGCACGGGCCGAAGAGGCTTGAACCAACAGGCCGTGAACATACATACATGCACTGTGCCTCACACACTCTAATGCACCTGGAAGAGCAGCAGGCGGATGCAGAGCCGTTCCTCGGTGCACGGGCCGAAGAGGCTTGAACCAACAGGCCGTGAACATACATACATGCACTGTGCCTCACACACTCTAATGCACCTGGAAGAGCAGCAGGCGGATGCAGAGCCGTTCCTCGGTGCACGGGCCGAAGAGGCTTGAACCAACAGGCCGTGAACATACATACATGCACTGTGCCTCACAGACTCTATTGCACCTGGAAGAGCAGCAGGCGGATGCAGAGCTGTTCCTCGGTGCACGGACCGAAGAGGCTTGAACCAACAGGCCGTGAACATACATACATGCACTGTGCCTCACAGACTCTATTGCACCTGGAAGAGCAGCAGGCGGATGCAGAGCTGTTCCTCGGTGCACGGGCCGAAGAGGCTTGAACCAACAGGCCGTGAACATACATACATGCACTGTGCCTCGCACACTCTAATGCACCTGGAAGAGCAGTAGGCGGATGCAGAGCTGTTCCTCGGTGCACGGGCCGAAGAGGCTTGAACCAACAGGCCGTGAACATACATGCACTGTGCCTCACACACTCTAATGCACCTGGAAGAGCAGCAGGCGGATGCAGAGCTGTTCCTCGGTGCACGGGCCGAAGAGGCTTGAACCAACAGGCCGTGAACATACATGCACTGTGCCTCACACACTCTAATGCACCTGGAAGAGCAGCAGGCGGATGCAGAGCTGTTCCTCGGTGCACGGGCCGAAGAGGCTTGAACCAACACGCCGTGAACATACATGCCCTGTGCCTCACACACTCTAATGCACCTGGAAGAGCAGCAGGCGGATGCAGAGCTGTTCCTCGGTGCACGGGCCGAAGAGGCTTGAACCAACAGGCCGTGAACATACATGCACTGTGCCTCACACACTCTAATGCACCTGGAAGAGCAGCAGGCGGATGCAGAGCTGTTCCTCGGTGCACGGGCCGAAGAGGCTTGAACCAACAGGCCGTGAACATACATGCACTGTGCCTCACACACTCTAATGCACCTGGAAGAGCAGCAGGCGGATGCAGAGCTGTTCCTCGGTGCACGGGCCGAAGAGGCGCAGGAAGAGGTTCACCAGGTTGAGGTCATTGCTGCCTGTCAGACGGTGTGTGGCTGGGTCGAACCTGGTGGGAGGGAGGGCGTAGGCAGAGAGAAAGGGGGCACGATACTGAGCAGCTGAGACAAGGGGCAAGGTCGAGGGGCGAGGGAGAAGAGAGAGAGAGAGGAAGAGACCAAAAAAGTCATGACATAGTCTGGACTCTGGAGACTGACTCAGCAAGATGATGGGAAACGGACCGTGGGAAACGGACTAAATGGGAATGGTAACCTGAGGTGCCTCAAAAGCTGTGTGATGTGAGAGCGCCTGCAGTGTGTGATAAGTCGATTTTTGAGTCGACTCAAAAGCTGTGTGATGTGAGAGCGCCTGCACCTCGAAAATATATTAGGTGCCTCTAAAATTGACGCACCTGTGGAACGGAGTAGACGGCATTAATAACCTGAGGGAGCATTAGCAGCAGCAGAGTCGATTTCTAAGGCGCCTCAAGAATAGTCTTAATACACGCGGCTTTTGAGGCAGCTCAGAGGATGACGCACCTGGGGAAAGGAGTAGATGGCATTGATGACCTGAGGGAGCATTAGCAGCAGCAGAGTCTCGCTGGAGGGGAAGGGAAAGGAGAAAAGGCGTATATTTATGGGGCGGAATTGATAACCTGAGGGGGGAATAGCAGCAGCAGAGTCTCGCTGGAGAGAAGGGAAGGGAGAAGATGGCATTGATGACCTGAGGGAGCATTAGCAGCAGCAGAGTCTCGCTGGAGGGAAGGGAAGGGAGAAAAGGGTACATTTTCGAGGCGCCTCAGGAATTGATAACCTGAGGGAGGCATAGCAGCAGCAGAGTCTCGCTGGAGGGAAGGGAAGGGAGTAGATGGCATTGATGACCTGAGGGAGCATTAGCAGCAGCAGAGTCTCGCTGGAGGGAAGGGAAGGGAGAAGAAAGGAAAGTAGCGGAAGAGAGTGTAAGGGAGAGGCGAGGGGGATAGGTTGATTGGTAGCAGAAAATGGGAAAGCGATGGGTTGATGCGTTGATATGAGAAGTTGCATCTTCTGATAAGCACTTGATACTGCTTAACACTAGCTACTGATAAGCACTACCTACTGCTAAGCACTAGCGACTGATAAGCACTAGCTACTGATAAGCACTACCTACTAATAAGTACAAGCTACTAAACTGAAGCAGTCACCTGATGAAGTTGCCCAAAATGCCGACCACTGCAAGTGAAGCATGTATTGGTGGATTAATAAGAGGAGTTGCAGAGCTGAGAAAATATGCGCGGATGCGCGTGCGCGTCAACTAGCTACTGAGTTGACTTTTGAGTCAACTCAAAAGTCAACTCGGTATAATGTTGCAAGTGAAGCATGCATTGATGGATCGATAAGAGGAGTTGCAGAGCTTGATAGCAACTAGCTACTGAGTTGACTTTTGAGTCGACTCAAAAGTCAACTCGGTATAATGTTGCAAGTGAAGCATGTATGGATGGGTTGATAAGAGGAGTTGCAGAGCTTGATAGCAACTAGCTACTGATCAGCACAAAGTGAAGCAGTCACCTGAAGTTACCCAAAATGCCAACCACGACCAGTGTGATTCCAGCAAAGTAGGTGAATGTGTCTCCCACAAAGACCTGCGAGGGGTACCTGAGAGATGAGGGGGGAGGGGGGAGGGAGGGAGATAAGGGGGAGGGGAGAGGAAGAGACGTGAAAGGGGGACCAGATGCGAGTGTGATTCCAGCAAAGTAGGTGAATGTGTCTCCCACAAAGACCTGCGAGGGATACCTGAGAGGGTAGAGGGGAGAGGAGGGATGTTGAGCGGGAAGGCAAAAGGCGAGTGTCATTCCAACTAGTAGAGTGAATGTGTCTCCCACAAAGACCTGCGCGAGGGGTACACAGAGAGCAGGCAAGGGAGGAGGAGAGGGCGGGAGGGAGAGGGGGTGGAGGAGGGAGGGAGAAGGAAATGGGGATTGAAGGACGTGAATGTGAGACCTAATTCACCCACAAAGACCTGCGAGGGGTACCTGGGAGAGAGAGGTGATCAGCGAGGTGAGGAAGGGAGATGGGGAAAGAGACATGAGTCCGGGAGGGCGCGAGAGTCAATTCAAGAATAGGGACAATTTGTCACCCACAAAGACTTGCGAGGGGTAGGTACCTGGGAGAGAAAGGTGAGCAGAGAGGCTAAGGTGGGGTAGCATGCATGCGAGGAGGGTGCTTTTGAGTCGGCTCAAAAGCAGCCTTCACGTTGATTCGATGACTCGGTGCTAAATTTTCAAAGACAAGGTGGGGTAGCATGCATGCGAGGAGGGCAGGATGAGGTAGATGGAGCGGAGGTGAGGCGAGCCTTCTAGATGATCCGACGCACAACGTACCAGTTGAAGACCAAGAGAGAGAGCCAGCCGACGAGGCACTCACCAGTTGAAGACCAGCAAGGCGAGTGTGCAGGCGAGGAGAGGGAGGATGAGGTAGATGGAGAAGAGGTGGGCCTGCTGCATGTCTAGCTGCAGTTGCAACTTGAAGCCTGGAAGCTCGCCTATTTGCCATATGTTGAACAGCAGTACCTGAGCAGGCGAAATTTTTGGGAAGGGGGGGGGATGGGGAGGGAGGGAGAGTATGGGAGAGTAAGGGACAGAGAGAGTATGTTGATGGAGTTGGGGCAGAAGACAAGATGCCCATATACTAGTTTTGAGACGTCTCAAAACCATATACACCTAGTACAGCACGCCCAGGTCCCACACCCAGAAACACTATGCTTCTTTTCCTTCATTGTCCCTCCCACAGCAAGTGTTGGCTGAGGCATGGAAGGTGTATGTGGTGGTGGTGCTCATGGCTCGTGGAGGTGTTGCCGTGGCCCGTTTCCACTGTGCTTCTTTCCCTTCATTGTCCCTCCCACAGCAAGTGTTGGCTGAGGCACGGAAGGAGGTGGAGCAGCTGACAAGTCAGTTGTCTGTTGCTACCACCCAGACAGAGGCGCTAAAGGCAAATTGTGAGGCGCTTCAAGGTGCTTTGACTGAGCAAAAGGAGACAACTGCTGCCGACATTGCTGCTGCTGTTGACAACAAACGTCTCTTGCGGGTGAGTGTTCTCCTGCTGCCTCTCGTTTCTTCTCCTTGTCCCTTGCACCCCTACCACCCCCAAAAGCCGCTTACCTCTTGCACCGTTTCTTTTCTCTACCTTCCCCACTTCTTTCGGGTAGAGAAAAGAAAATAAGCCATGAGGAGAGGCAGGGAGGCAATGGCGGGGAAAATAAGCTTGCTGTGGGGGAGGTGGAGGTGTGGCGGGGGACCAGGGGAAGAAAGAGGGGGTTGAAGGGGGGGGAAGGGAGGGGAAGGGGGAACGGAGAGGCAGGGAGGCGATGGCGGGGAAGATTATTTTTCTGTGGGGAAGGTGGGCCGGGAAAGGGGAGACGGGGTGGAAATGGCTGGAGCAAAAAACAATGCTGGAGCAAAAAGGATCTGGCAAAAAGGATGAAGCCAGGTTAGAGCTGCAAGCTGGCACTCTCAATAGAATGTTGTGCATGGGATGGATGTACAGCACTCACTCGCGAGAGTTGTGCAGCACAAGGCATGGGACGTACAGCATTCACTCGCGGCACGGCACGGTGCGGCACGGCACGGCACGGCACGGCACGGCACGGCACGGCACGGCACGGCACGGCAAGGCACGACACGGGTTGTGCAGCATAAGGCATTGAGTCGACTCCAACCTGTCCTTCCTTCCCATCATCATTCCATCGCCCGGCGCCCATCCCCTAACACCCAGGCCAGCACTCGCATGCCTTTTTGTAGGCCCAAAACCTGATTGTTTTAGGCCAACACAAGAACCTGACTCTTTTGACGCCTCAAGAACCAGCCCAGCACTCACACGCGTTTTGAAGTTTCTAGCACACCGTCTATGAAGCCCTGCAGCACCATGCATGCACCCTTGAGGCGGCTAAGAAACAATACCCCAGCAGCACCCATTCCCCAGCACATTCCCCAGCACCCACTCCCCAGCACCCATACCCCAGCAAGCACCCAGGCCAGCACCCACTCACACGCGTTTGGGTGTCTCGAGCACATCGTCTATGAATTCCTGCAACACCATGCAGCAGATGCAGGCTAGAGGCGCCTCAAGACTGTCCCAGCGCCCAGCCCAGCCCAACACCCACTCACACACGGCTGGGTGTCTCGAGCACGTCGTCTATGAAGCCCTGCAGCACCATGCAGCCGATGCAGGCTAGAGCTGCGCTGTACTGCCACAGCCACTGGGGAAGGTGAAAAGGGGAGGGGAGGGGAGGGAGAGCAGCGGAAGGAGGGGGACAGGGAGGAGAATGAAGCCCTGCAGCGCCATGCAGCATATGCACGCCAGGGCTGCATTGTACTGCCACAGCCACTGGAGAGGGGGGGGAGGGAGAGGGGGAGCAGGGAGAGCAGAGGAGGAGGAGGGGTGGGGGCAGGGAGCAGAGGAATTAAGCCCTGCAGCACCATGCAGCATATGGATGGTGGTGGTGAGTTGTTTGCACTGCAGCAGCCACTGGAGAGGGGGAGGGGGGGGGGAGGGCAGGGCGAGCAGGAGGGTGAGTGAGTAGAAGCATGCGGGGGGGGAAGGGAGGGGGAGGGGGAGGGCAGAGAGTGCCTCTGAGGGGAGCGGGGAGGAAGAGTGGAAGGTGGAAGAAGAATCGCCTGAGGAAACACCTGCGCAATCATCATGTGCAATCACCTGAGGAATCACCTGAGCGGTCACCAGGGGTGTCTCACAGGCGATTCAGGCGTGAAGTGGAAATAATGGAAGAGGACGGTTACCACGAGTTACACTCGGAGTTGCACCTGGAGTTGCACCTGGAGTTGCACCTGGAGTTGCACCTGGAGTTGCACCTAGAGTTGCACCTGGATTTGCACCTGGAGTTGCACCTGGAGTTGCACCTGGAGTTGCACCTGGAGTTGCACCTGGAGGTGCGAGCTGTCCCTGTAGTTGCCCTGCGTTGCACTCACAGGGGAGTCAGGCGTGAAGTGGACGTACTGGAAGAGAACGGTTACCACGAGGTACACCACCGCCACCACCAGACGGTTACCACGAGGTACACCACCGCCACCACCAGACGGTTACCACGAGGTACACCACCGCCACCACCAGACGGTTACCACGAGGTACACCACCGCCACCACCAGACGGTTACCACGAAGTACACCACCGCCACCACCAGACTCTGCGCCTCGGGGCTGCATAGGGTGGGGAACGCGAAAGCAGTAAAGCACATGGCATGGGGGCGCGCAGCTGAATGGGTATTGCAGGGCAACGCACGAGGCTGTGCTGCATAGGGTGGAACGTGGGAGCACACGGCATGGGGGGCATGGGGCAAGTCACAGTGCTACCTACCCACCCGGTCTCCCACCAGGTACACCACCGCCACCACCACCAGGCCCTGTGACTCGGGGCTGGGAGTGTGGAAGATGGGGGGCATGGGTATGTATGCGCGGCTGGAAAAGGAAGTGCACAGTAGCACCTGCTGCCTAGCCACCCATGAGCAAGCACAGCATGGGTACCACCAGACTCGATCCTGGGTAGGTAGGCATGGGTGAAAAAGAAAATGCACGGTAGCACTAAACACTACCTTGCCACCCATGAGAACTCAAGGGTACCACCAAACCCGACCCTGGGTCTTGCGGTATGGGTACACCAGGATGGGTAGCAACAGATCCGATCCTGGGTCTTGCGGAACGGGGGAAGGAAGGCATCACCGAATTGTGGATGACCCCAGGCTGACCATCCGAAATTAGGGCCCGTGAAGTGACTAACGGGTCACCCAAACCTCACTCCAAAGTGACTTTCAGGTCAACTGCAGCTTCAACTGACCCTGAAGTCATCCGCGGGTCGGCGATTTCGCCCGAAAAGGTGTGCCGGACCCAAAACTAACCCCAACCTAGCCATTCATCGCGATTCGGGGATCGTCGAGGCGCCATCGTAACAGACATTGGCAAATCACACCTGCCATCAAGCCGAATCGCCATATCAATGAAACATTGGCCAATCGCGGGAACTTAATGCGGAAAAAATTAATAAGTCAAATTGCGCGGAATGTGTTAGACAGAACTCCCAAAATAGTATACACCATAAATGAAACTGCAAGCGCACCAATAAGGAAAATCGCTAAAAACAAAGGCAATCATATTTGCAACCACTCAGGCTAAACTGTGGAAAGGGGAAGACAAATTCCACAGCGGGAGAAGCCACTTTCAACACCTGCGCTGATCCAGTGTGTGTGTGAGAACTCCAACATTATTGGCCAAAGGGTACAGATCATACGTCTCCCTTCTACTTACAACAAAACTGTGCACTGCAAATTATGGGTGCTTACAGCCGTTACGGCTGCAACTTATGGGAACAGAAACCGATTGACCAAAAACACGTTCGCCTCAATAAACGATGGCACAATATGAGCCAGGGAAAGAATGCTGTCCACATCTATGACTGCATACGCATCCGTCCCCACAGTGGGAGTCAAGCGGATGCAGCCCGTAGTCGGGCATGGGCCATCCACCTGTGTGAAATACTGGATGAAAGCAAGCCGGGGCTCGGGCTTGGTCGCCGAAGGAATATGGAAGAGTGCCAGGCACTTCGCATACCACTCTGCCCGTTGGGGCCCCTCGATCTTGATGTGCGAGAACCAGCCCGTTTTCGGTGATGCCTTCACCATCTGACCGTTGTCACCGCGATCCATCCGGTTGTGAGGTGGGAGGGCCAGCGCCGTGTGAACCTGTGGAGGGAGCTTACGATGCACGGTGAGATACAACAATCCCGTAGGGCTTGGCAAAGCATGGCCTGGCGGGGAGGGAGACTCCAAATGGCCATATTGACGCGCGTGCGCGGAAATGAGGGACGGAGGATGTTACATGGGTGGCATTGGGCGGGACATGATGGGATGGGATGGGATGGAGGGGGGGTGGATCGGAGGGGCTTTGGGTGTCCGATAGGTTCGAGGTGAGGAAAAGAGGTGGGGGAAGCGGGGGAGCGGAAAGGGTAGGAAGCGGCGGAAGCGGAAGAACATCACGTGGGAGCGTGGGCCAAACCAAAGATGATGGTTTAGGACACGTCGAGAGGCTCGAGACGATCCGGTATGGGATAGGAAAGGGGTTCGCATGCAACTACTAGGTAGCCATGGGAGAGGCGCTGTCAGTGCCTTACCATGGTCATGTATGCCGCCACTGCACGACATCCACGGTACAAGAAACCAACAGAGTTGATGGCTGTGTGTGGCATACCTGCACAATCCCGGTCGTGTGTCCAGCACGCACAAGCTCTGTGCTCAATCTACCCATAGCGTCCGCACTCGCCTTGGCGACAAAGAGTTGCCACTGCTCATCCGAGACATCGTTCAAGACCATCTTCGTGCTTGTCTTGGTGAGGACCCGACAGTTTCCAGCCACCGCCTAAAGCAACAACAGTGCCATGTCCATGTCGTGCATCAGAAAGATGTGAAACGGTTAAAGGTCGAGCAGCTTTTGTACAGACCAATCTCTAGGGTCAGCGGGGTTTAGTACGCATAGGGCATGACATTGGCTTCTACTCACCAGCCGCATTGCTGTCTCATACACCTTTCCACCTCCCTCTTCCCTGCTCAGCGTCTGGATTGCAGCAAGACGCTCGTGACGGAATGCAATGTCGGCATCCACATCGTGCCAGTTGCTGTTGCGCGCATGCCGTTTCACGCATGTTTTGTGCATTGCCTCCCACGTATTCGTGTTGTACTCCAGGGGCAGCCCCCGTGCACGTATGTAGTCAGGCAGGTGGCTCAGCTCGTGCACCTTTACAAGCTTCCACTCAGATTTCTGGTCTGGGAATACGCGAATCAGCTCGTTGACCATCCTGGCGTGCAATACGGACATAGAGGGTGTACAACAATGCTTTGATGGCTCCGCATGTTGTATGTAACTGAGATGACAGGGTTTAGGGGCGTCACGAATCTGATTTGCATCGGCAACCACCCCATAGCACTCAACCTCACCTCGATGTTTGCTCCTTTGCCGCCGCCAGACTCTCGTCCATGTGGAACTCCACTCTGAAATAATCAGCATACCACTTGTTGAATAGCACCATGAAACTCCCGATGCTCTCGTGCCCGGGTAGGTGGCAGATCAGAGGCATGATCTGCATCAATGACCGGTGCTCCCATGCAGCAAACTTGGACACCGTTCTAAAATAGTGCGATACATCAGGCGTGCGCAGAAGTGTCGCAGGTGTGTCGGCCAGCGTCACCCGGCATCGTCTGTGTTCCATTCTGCAGAGGTGGGACGCCTAGAGGGCAGTTATGCCTGGGCCATCACGGACGGATTATGTGTATCCTGAGGCCGTGATCTTTGTCACACAGAAAAGCGACGCATGCAGCAGGATGGCCGTGTCAATCATGGCATCTGCCCCGCTGAACGAGGCCAAGTGCAAACTCTGCCAACGGGAGGGAAGGGGGTGAGCCAGTGGGATAGTTGCCTGTGTTTTACAAGACAGATATACGCCTGCAGCAGCATCTATGTTAATATCATCGCTCCAGTGGCACTCGTACAATGAAAGGCAATCCCTGCCACCCATGCTCCCAGCAGAAACCGGTGAGACAAAAGTAGGGCAAGGGTATATCCATGTCAGCTCCTCCTCCTGTAGCAGCAACACCGTGCCAGTCAACGCTGATGGGTTAGCGCCAAGTGCCTGCCTTCCCACACGTGGGATCAGGGAAAAGAGGTGAGGATGGCGTAAGGGGTAAATTGCGTAGTGCAAGTAACATAGCTGGAGCGTTGGTAACCAGGGAGGCGCCTGCATCAGCATCACCGTCTCTATCATGGTTTCAATGCCTCCCAAGTGCGCCTGGTGCCAACCCAGAAGAGGCTAGGTAGTGTAGGGGAATGGGCCTGTCCGACCTCACTCTTACGCGTTCAGCAGCGTCACTGTCTCGATTAACTCTGTGCACATCTGGGTATGTCGGATGAATGCATCGCTAAACTGTAGGCCAGACAAAGGGATAGGGGGCGTAGTCACATGCATCACCCACCTCAGTAGCTCCAGTAGCTCGGTTGGAGTGAGCATGGCTACCAGACATCGCATGATATGAAGCCAGATTCCCTCGTCCACCACGTGAAGCACGCACACGCCAATGGCGCAGTACATGTTGCCCCACGGTGTGTCCACGTATTCCCATTCCCAAAGGGCGCACTGCATGGATGTGGAGGGACCGTGTCAAGCCACGCACCCACAGATGGCAAGGAGGTGCATGCTTATACCAATCACTTGAAGAGACCGACAGAGTCGTGGAACAGCCAGACGGTGATAATCCAATGAGTTACGTACATACCTTCACGTAGTGAGAGCAGTATGCCTGCTTCACACGCGCAAGCTCGGCCGGGGATGCACGGGCCATCTTACTTATTGCACACGTCTGGCCTAACACCGTTCGTAAGGCCGGGTTCACGGTCCCATCAACTGTGGCTAACTCCCATCGATTGGCGATGCATATCGAGCACGGCTTCATCGATGTGGCCGACATGGTGCACGTGACATAATTCGACTCAGTGTGGTCGCACACGTATGTGCCCAGCATGGGGAGTACGTTGTACTCCTTACCCTCGTGATCCACCACACGCACGCCCTCACTGCATTGCCACTCACAACCGTGTGGTAAGTAAAGGGTACTGTGGGGTGATTAGACGTGGGATCAGAGGCTACACTGGTCGACACACGAAACTTACCTCTCTGGTTTCGACAGCGCCATCAATGGTCCAAACACGGTCTTAATAATAGTCTGGAATAGCGCCGTCTTCTCTTCGGCGCTCAGTTCAGCCGGAAATGGCGGGATCAGCGCCACCATCTACGTTCCACCTAGCATCCAACGGAACCTTTCATGTATGTTCATGAATGAGAATAGAACGGGGTGCGCCACCTGGCGGCCATTGAATGTCAGATGCGTCGAATCACTGAAGATCAGAATCCCTGCCGCGACCATTCCCCGCGCCCTAGCCGTGGCCTGACACCACGCACAGATAAGGATGCAAGTACGGCAACGCAAGCATAGGCAGATTGTATGCTCGGGAACAAACTGAGAACGAACGGGTCGCCAGTGAAAGCAATGGATTTACTGACCGACGCTTCCATGAACCAGTTACATCCAACTGGACTGCGATACCGCCTCACTTGGTTGCTGTCCTCCTCGTACTCTGGATGTAGTGCGAACCCCTCAACTCCAGACATTCTTGTCCACATCTTCATGAAGACCTGAAGTGCTGAAAATATCCATAAGCGTAACACATGTGCAAACCGGGGTTCATACACCCTGCATTCAAATAGGTAGAACCCTCACCTGCACAATACGCCTATACCGCACGATGATCACACCTAAGTCATCGGCGAGCTCGATCTCGTCCTCCAGCCACTCATCACCGATGTCCAACAGCTCCTGCTCGTACGCATAATCATCACTGTCTGTAGATATTAATCCCCCCCAACTTGGAATATTAAGATTATCCAGCACACTACTGCGGGCCACGGCTGCATTTTGCATTAGGGGACGGCATCAGCCTATCCACAATACGCATAAACAATGCAGCATGTTCAACGTCGGGCATCTCTGTCATGCCTGCATTCAAAACACAAAGCCACAACACGAGGGAGAACTGAGGTTTACACTCAGTTCATGCACACCAGAGACATTTTATTTACTGTAGCCTCGTCAGTCATACCTCGAAGGGAAGCTACAAACGATGCTGCGCTTTCTGCAGTCCCGACATTGCCCATGGTGGACGTTGTCGCTGCTGGGGCAGGCACTGCTTGATTCCCTGTTTCATAAACGTTTATAGACAGTCATAGCATTCCGTGCTTATAATATGGCCAGAGCGATCATCACAGCACGGACACTCACCAAGGGGAGAACCTGTTCCCTCGTTGGGTTCCGGCTTGGGAGCAATTATCACAGTGGGTGTTTCAGGCTCTCCACTCGACCTACCACTGCCCGATGCCTTCATCGCGGGTGGCTTAGTTGGCGTACCTGCGCACGACATTGCAGTAGTACCCTGTAGTTAGTGTAACCCTACTCATAGCAATCCCTGAAGATCACAAAAAAAAAAAAACGCTCCCTAGCGCGCTTACGCTGGGGTGTCCGCGCGGTGGCAGGCAACACGCTCGTCTTTCGGTGAGTAACCGGGGACTCCATGGTGTGCTTTGGAGCCTCCGGGCGCAGGTTCCACGTCCCACGCTGAGCGCCCTCGACGCTCCGTCCTTGGGCGTGATGCAGAGCAGGAGACCCCTCATTTGTACCATAGACGGTGCGGGGAGTTTCTTTAGCTGGCATTTTGGCCTTTTTGCGCGGACGGTTAACGTCACGCATTGCATGCGACTTTCCAACAACTGCTGGAGGCGAGGGCGAGGTCCCGTGCTTTGGGGCTGCGAGGCACAATAGCAGAGGCTCAGTAACCAAGGGCCTAAGGTGGTAGAAATGGCATTGACAGAAGAATATACATAGAGGACAGACCATCAGATGCCTTGTAGGGTGCTACCACTCGCAGATGTGAGGAGGTGCCGATATCATCTGCCTGGTCTTCTGTGTCTGAGTCAATCCAGTCGCGATACTTGGTCGGCACAGGGCGGTTGCACGCTGGATGATCATCGTCGCAATCGGCCGACTGTCCCTCACATGCCACAAGCGGTGTCCGCGCCCTTTCGCCACATGGCGGAGAGTCACAATGATAGTCACGAAGTACCCAGATACCGTTGCGCATGACCCAGTCGCTAACAGGAGACTTCCCTGTTTCCGGTTCCACCTGCCGATCGGCCATATCCAAGAGTAGCGAACAGAGATGGTTGAAACCCTAACGCACGAACAAGCAGGCTGCGGAGTGACGAGGCTAAAATGGATGGGGGACGGTGCAGCGACAGAGAAGTGTGACGGTTGTACTCGATTTAGGACCAGTGGTCCGGTACCATTGTTTCCGTATTGTAAAAGGTTGTGTATACCCCGTCCCCCTATACGCGTCAGTGATTTTTATTACATATTCAAGAGCTACGAAAGTATACCAACGTATAGACTCTTCCAACCACCTCATTGGCACGCACGCATCCGAAACATTGTCTATTAGGAGTAATTACACCAACAATGTCCAATGCAATCTCTACTATTCCCGAAACACTACCTCTGATCAAACTTAAACTTCATCTACGGTTTTTTAGTCTGCTCCCTATAGTAGTTACTCCACAGCAAAAAGTAAGTCCGCAACTCCTCCCGCCAGTTCGTGGAGGAACCATACAATGTAATACGGTCGGGATTGGCAAAGTCGGTCTCCACAAGATGCTGCATGTACTTGATGACGGATATGCCACAGTCCCACTCATTGGGCTGTTGTGTGGCCTGGGCATACATACAAAAAAACCGATTTAGCATGGGTTACCAAAGCAAAACGCGACGGCACAGACTTAAAACACAAAGAGCACATAAGGTCTGCCATCTTACGTCCACTGTACAGTGCTTCAGCCCCGCTTCCCATGTGTCTGCCTGGGAGTCTGAAATCCAGGGGCGGTACGCCCTTAGCTGGTGCTTGAGATAACTGTGGGAGAATTGAGGTGTGTATTGGGTATTGCAAAAGTCGGTCAAGGCGTGTTAGCCGTCTGGAACGATACAGGTGACGAGAGGTCTCACCGACGTATGGGGGCGTGGAAACCAGCATGCATGCTCGCGGAATCAGCGTGCAAAATGCGCGTGGGTAGGGGCAGGTAGTCCTTGTGGGCGTCCTGGTCGTTCTGTAGAATGACGAGGCTCCAATGATTTCTGCGCACCACATAAAGCAGTGAGAGGATGGAACATGGAGTTTCCCACTAAAACGTATCAGTGGGAAGCGTACCTAAGATGGATCGGGATGAATGCCCATCTATAAGATAGAATATTGTCCCCCGTAGCGTATTGCATCGATGTTGTTGCTGCATCTGGGCGGCTGATGAGTGGGTAGAACAGCGTCCCACAGTAAATCCACACATGATCGTCTTCAGAGGCGTTGTATTGAAGCAATCTGCGTATGCCCTGGTCGTCGTTAAAGCACGGAGTCGGAATCGAGCAATAGAACACAGTTCGTGCAATCATGTACTCACAAAGCAAACCACTCGATGATCTCGCCTGACAACCATCCTTCGGGCTCCAGCGTTATAGTCTGTAGGCGACTTAGAGTCAGATATGAGCGGGCGGTCGGGTAAGGCATAGAATAGGTTACGAACGCCGCTTTTGCTGCGTCAGATGTAGCCATGGCGGCCTGTAGTAGTTTTACGAGTGCAGGTGAACTTAAGGGTCGGAAGTTAACGAGTTCGCTAGGTGAGTAGCGTAAGCAGAGTTACAAAAACACGCCCAAGGTGACAGAAAACCCTAATGCAACATTTAGTCGTGAGTACTATAAAACATCCACAAAATATTTTGAAGGGTAACGTAACACGGATGATGTCGTTATTTTCGTCAACCCCCAGGGGCCCCGAATGACGGCGGCGCCCTTCATGTTTTGTGACACGTGTTTGGTTCTACCCATTGGACCTATCAAACATCGTTACCGTCGAATGTTGAGAGGGACGTGAATCTTGATGGCGACGCTCCCACCAACCGGTAGGGTTGCAAGAGCCACGTCACGGAGTCAGCCCACAGTCATCTCGTCACCGTTCAGCCAGTCTCATCACCCTTGGGGTTCATATGGGGTTGACACTGTTCGTAGGGGTTTCGGTTCCGATGGCCGGTATGCGCGGTTATCCGTGGATTGACACCCGTTTATCTACGGTTATGGAGTGATCAGTTTCAGGCTCTGCACAGCGTCTGCTCATTCCTCCCTTGCCCAGCGCTCACATGTCAATACGTTAGACTGTCTATCTCCACTCAGCTAAAATGAGCCAAGCCGTTAGTGCTGCTTGTTCTAGAGAAACAAGTGGGCGACAAAGACGTCCGGCGCCAGTGATTGCCTCGGGAGATTTTGTTACACCGAATGCACGAGGGCGTGCCGCGGACCGGAAGTGGCAAGTAGAAGCCCGCGATGCTCGCCGCATCGCTAGGGAATTCACGAGCTTGCATAGACTACCTCGCGGGCACTTGTTGCCTCGTGCATCCTTCCCTCGTCCAGTCCCTGTGAACAAGGACGAGACTGGCGAGAACGACGACCCTTACGGTTTGTCGGTCGATACATTGCTCGCGGCACACACTCGCCACATACAGGTATGGAACGTGTCTATCCTTTCCATGCTCACCCACATGTTCTTATTTTACACACTAGATGGTGCCGTCGATGTACAGTTTAAGTGGATGAACCGTGACCTCGGTTGTGACGATGTTGTGAAAACCTAGTATCTGTCGTGCAGGTGATTGTACCGAGCTCCGAACTGACTTGGAGTGCACGGAAGTGGGAGGACCTCACAGCAGGGATGTCTTGCCGGCTGCGTGGTATCACTACTACTCTGTACTGTACGGGGCCGAACACTCGTCGTGCACCATGGACGGCTCTCCGGGCAGCTCCGGCACCCTGTCCAGGTCATGCGGCGCCATGTCGGAGCCGGGAGGTGCCTCAAGCGACGAGGAATGGTCGCCGTCCAATGACGTCGCAGGGAATGGGGATGATTCAGGAACTAACACCACTGTCGTGACGACACGTGCAGGAACACAGGCTTCGGGAGGCAAGCAACGAGGCCGTAAGCGTGCAGGCCGGGGTCGTGGAAAAGGTGCAGCGCCGAAGTAGGTGAAGGATCCAATGGATGTGATCCGGAGCGTGAAGTCGCGCGTCCCACGTGGGAAGAAGGGACGAAAGGCGGCGGTGGATGTCTATGGCGATTACGGCAACACTGGCCCCAAGGTTGACTCACCCGCGCCGGCTGTGAAGGAGCCAGCCCCGGCTCAAACCTCGCGGCCTGTGGACGAGGATGACGTTGTAGAAGTGACCGGACAAGATGGTGCATCAACACCTGTGTGTCCGTCTGCCTCTATGAAGAACCCCATGCCCGCCCCAACAGGAAGCGAGTATCAGTGCACTGGCAGCGTGAAGACCCCACCCATCAACGAGCGCGGGCGGGTCGGTCAGGGGCGAGGGTCTCCACTCATGGATGGTGGCACGCCCACGCGCGCAACTGCAGTCCCCAACCCTGCCGTCACTCCTGATGCGATCAAGGACGACGCTGTTGGTGGACCAGGCGGGTCGTCAGGAGCTGCAGCGCCAGACGTGGGAGTCATTTCTCAGCTCCTCCTCCAAGTGCTGGGAGGCGCCCGATGTTCGGGTGAAGCCGCATTTCCCGGGCTCAACACAATGGGGCAAGGCGGTGCAGCGGCAGAGCTGATCAATGTTCTACAGAGGCTCCAGTCAGCAACTCTACCAGGAGAGGCCTCGATGGGGAGGGAGAGAACACCACCCGCTACAACAATAGCAGGGAACACTAACCCTGCTGCAACCCCAAAGTCTGCACGGGCCAGCAACGTTCGCGATGCGGGTGCCCCCATTGCTGTCGCTGAAGAAGGCAGGTCGCCACGCCGCGGCGTGGCGGGGGCGGCCACAGCAAAGGGCGACAGCTCTGGAGAACAGACAGGGGCCGGAGTTGGGGAGCTGACGAAGGAACTGAATTGCGGGCTTTGGAAAAATCCGCTCGAGCACGACAAGCTGGAAGAAGTAAAGTACGTCCACGTTCACGGGCTGTTGTGAAGCATGCGGGTATCTCAGGCGGGAGTAAAGCGGGATGATGTTATACGTTGCCATGCCATTTCCCCTACAGTGCCCGCGACTACGGAAACCATAGCAGCCGGGGGACTAAGCGTGAACGTGCCAACGACTACGTTTCGGTGGTAGTTGACTTCGACCCGGACTGCAAGAACCGCCAACGCACCCCTGGACTACCGACCCCCGAGCAAATTGGCGTGAGTACTCTGGGGTGGGGGTGTGCTTGGGTTAGCCTACAGTCAGATCAAGAATGTGGCGCTACTGGCTGACGGAAGGGGGGGCGGTCTGTTCACGTAAGCATTGTGTCTCGTCGTGCCCACAACTGTGACGTTTGTGTCGTAAACCTGCAATTCCCCTTCATGCCATGATCACGAGTTGTACTTGGCAGTTCTACGGCAAGATGGCAATGGATTACCTGCTCCGCAAGTGTCGTGCGCGTGGAGTGACATATTGGCCGAACAACACCATGCGCTACTACGCATTGAAGGTGGCGCTCCGGCGGGACTATGATGTGTGCTATCAGGACGTGGCAAAGCTTATGGAGGACAAGAACTACAGTTCGAAGATCAACAAGCTGTGGGCGAATTGGAGGACAGATACCTCCACGGCATCTCGGCGGTCGTTGATCGACGCCCTGAAGATCAAGGTGGAGGCTGACGGCATCTTTAAGATCGAGGTCCCCGTTTCAGTGAAGGAAACCCTCGTGAAGACGTATGCTCCCAGTAAGCACTGTTAGCAATGTGCGTGCCATGATCATGTAAGTGCATCTATGTGGGGGGCTGGTATTTGTTGAGTTGGATACATGTTTCTTGGTCTTAGTAATGGTAATCTCCCCGCCCCCCCACGCAGCTCGACTACACTGTAGTGTGGTTTGTGGAGTGGCCAGTCATGAGAATGGATGCCCGGGCAGTGCATGTTGCGTTGTTATTGTTTGCCCGTCGTCATGTCTTGTTGTGAATCGTTTCAACCCTACAGCTGTTCAATCCTCCACCCATCGCCCCCTTTTGCACAAAATTCCCACTCCATCCCACATTTGGGGGCTGTTTTGTGACAGAGCAGAACGTTGGCCAGTCACTCCCCAACTGGAGCCATGAGGAGGGGGACCGGAGGCCCTTCACAAGCAAGGAGTTCTTCGAGGCATGCGTGGAAGCATATCCGGAGTGGCTGACGGAGGACTTCATGGTTTTGGTGCCGTACCACATAGCGTGGGTGATGTACTCGGTGAGTCTGTCACCGCATGTTGGTTAGTGTACCTTGTATACTGAATCGATGTCTGTACCCTAATCCGTGACCTTGAACACACCCGTCGTATTGTGCAGCTCGACTTTGGCCTCAGAAACCATGGTACTGAAGCAATGTGCTTCACGGGCGGACCTACGGAGAATGAGAAGAGGATGAAGTTAGCAGCGGCCCGAGTGTGGAAGGTGGTGGAGAAGTGGCTGGGTATTAGCATGGGTGTTTGGTACGACAAGGAGGTGGGAGCGTTCAGGTGGGGTGAGTACGGGCTGTATGTGAACACCAGTGGGTTCAAAAAGTTTGTTCCTAGCGGCCAGGACGTGGGCCCCGTAGATGCGTCCCTGTGGTTAGAGGGCTAGAACTGCGCTGTGCTTGACCTAATAAGTGGGAATGATAGTTCATGACTGTAAGCCGTTTTATAAGGTATTTTACACCTCTAAAGTAGTTGTATTCGGTTGTGGGGAATGGAGACACTCGGAGCCAATTAATATTAATGTGTTTTTTCAAACGTATCGCCATGCTAAACATACTGTATTGTTCGTATAGGTTAACAGTGTAATGAAACAGCCAATAACGAGTCGCGGTTCGGATAACAGTGTAACGAGACATTGTATAAGGAGTCGTGGGACCGATTGCATCGCCGGAACAGTGTTGACCTGCGCGTCACCGTCAGGTTAGCCGTCAGGTTAGTTGAGGGTCAATTTCGAGTGACCTGAAACTGACAGACCCTACGACCCGCACCTGACTTCCTCAACTAACCCCAAGGTGACTTTGGGGTCGATGTAGGGTCAGTGGTGGGTCAGCAACTTTTTGAGATGGGATAGGGTGGATGGAAAGAGGAAATGATGCACGTTGTTAGTACCTGGTCGGCCTGGGTACACTTGGAATGGAACATTGCTCGCGTTTTTACTATAATCACGCCTGAAATCGCCGGCTGAGAGCATCGCCCGTTAAAATCACATATGAACAGTGTTGATACATCAGCTCCTGTGATTCTCACCGTTCGTTGTAATTAATCTAAGGAGGGGAAGTGATCTTGATTTCTCCAGCCGGGGAACCTCTCTTGTTAAAATCGAATCCGAACATGTTTCTCCGCAACATATAAGGCACCGCCTTCGGAATCAGATTCGTCGTTATAACGAATCCCGCGACACTCATAACAGCGTTGATTGCGATAGACCGTCGTACTAACGGATCAAGCTTCAGCACGAGAAACGCCGCTATAACGGGAGTCAGGACGCACGCCGCGAAGATCCCCACGCGGACGCGCTTCGACCATCTGTTCAACGGTGAAGCGACAATGCCGCATCTGAAAATGGGAGGGTTCAAAACCTTCCTTGCGAGTTACTGCTCGGGTACTCATCTGAAGGCTGCTTTCCAGTTTCCAGACACCGTTCGAGTTGGTGCGAAAGGTTTGGGCACTCGAAACGTAAACGTACGGAAGAGTGGCTTAGTGGTACTGTACAATTACTGTAGATCCATGTGTGTGGATTCTCGTTTGCGCGCCACTGTCGGTGACAAATCTGTCCTGTCCTGATCCCTGCGAAGTGCTTATCACGTTATTTTTTACTTACCGCCATGAGTGGATAGTTGAACTTTGCGGCTGCTTGGTTGGCAAGTCCATCATCGTACTTTACCAGCTTGCGAACATACAACCCGTTTACAAATTGCTTTCCTTACACATTACAATATTTACTCAATAGTGAATCACTGGGGTGTAGGTTTGATCACTAGTGACCCTGTGTAAGGAAAATTCCTTTTCCTTACTTCGCGTCCCTGCTTGCCGCGTACATGCCTGTTCCCGCCATCGGCACCCATCCGTGAACGTTACCCGCTCGCAAAGTTGGCGATGCGATAAACAGAGAATATAGTTTTCAGAGAAACAAAGTAAATTACACTGATAAAAAAACCCCTGGCACCCATCCGTGAACGTTACCCACTCGTGACATTCGCCTCGACCACGACTCCCGCCACTGTTCACGATGCGACCCAACCTAACGGTTCGGTTGGTAACCCGCGCTCCGGACCTCCGCCTCGACAATTCCCAACCTCGGCGCTAGGCCCGTAGCGCACCCCAATTTCCCGCATTACCGTTACCACGCTAGCTTCGCTATATAACTTCGCTCATGCTTTTCGCTCAACTGTATTGTTTGCTTCGATAGTGCAATCCTCGCTCGCTCGCTCCATTGCACTCGTAACACTTGGTATTCAGAGCCTACGATCTCCTCTCGGACCGCACCCACACCTTCGCTTCCCCACTATCTCAATTTTTGGGGGGGTAGACGTCTCTCAGCAAACAAGCACCGCCGCTCGAAGTGCTCTCTCGTAAGCACGCACGGCCACGACAGAGGCTCTCGCTGAGCTTGCCCGACACCCCCGCCATGGCCGAAATTAATCTTGCGACGCTGACGCAGGAGCAGCTCGGCCGTCTCGTGCGCCAACTCGAAGACTCGGCGCTCGAAATCGCGACACTCACGGCGAAACGTGACTCCGCCCGCCAGCAATCAACAGTGAATGCGCCATCACCATCACAAGCACCCGCAAATGCACCTGTGCAATCAGAAGAACCGATCGTCATCTCATCAGGCACACCGACGCAACACGACAGCGTGGGACAGCGCTCAGGCGCAGCCAGTGATGGCGCCGCTCAATCAATGCCTGGCATGGAGAGAAATAGGGCCGCACCAAGCCCGCGTGGGCCTCGCGAAGCTCGTCGGCACGTGGAGTTTGCAGCAACAAGTGGCAGCCACGACATCATGGCACCAATGCCACTCAAGCCGCAGCGCCCGCCCTGTTTCGATCCGAGCCAACGTGGAGGTCCGACGGTTCAATCGTGGGTCTTCACGATGAACATTTTCTTCGACACGAATTACGTCGAGTCGGACGCAGCGAAGATTCGCTACGCTGTTTCGCTGCTGAGGGGCCCCGCCATGGACTGGTGGCGAGTCATCGTGACGTCGCCACGCGCCTACGAGCCACCGTCGCAAGAGGAAGAGCCCACGGGCCCAGCCGTCACCTGGAGTTCATTTTGCGAAACCGCCCAGTACAGCACGTGGGATGCGTGGTGCGCAGGGCTTCGGGCGCGCTTCGAGCCGATTGCGGCCTCTATTTCGACGCGTCAGAGACTGCGTACTTGGCGGCAGCTCGGATCCGTTCAAGACTACACGAGCGGTTTTCTCGCATTATGCGAGCAAGTCGGCTACATGTACGAAGCGGAGCGGGTGGACCGTTACGTCGGAGGGCTGAAGCCGGACATCTCGCACGAAATCATGTTGCGCGGGCTCTCGAATTTTAACGAGATCCTCGCGCTCGCCGAGAAAATTGACATTTTGCGCCGTCCGAGACTGGGGTCCTACTACGGACATCGCCCTCGGGGACCGATCGAGCACGCAACCGTACACGCCGTTGCGACAAATGCAGCTGCCGCGCCGTTTAAGGGGCGCTGCTTTGCTTGCAACAGACCGGGCCATCGCAAAAGCGAGTGCCCAGAGGAGCTAAGGCGCCGCGGAGTAGAGCAGGGGAGGGAGTCTCAGAGGCAGGGAAACGCCAGCAGTCGGTAGAAATTGGGCCAACTACTGACGAGACTGCCTGCTCGCCCAACCTCACCGACCCTAACCGAGTCAGAGTACCGATTCACGCCATCGATCGGGCTCGGATGAATAAGGAGGGTACAGCGACAGATTGCCCAGTACTGATCCACGGGAAAATACAGGGAGCAGCAGTGAAGATTTTTATAGACGGAGGGGCAAGTCACAGCTTAGTTAATACCGCGACCACACGGAAGCTGCAACTGGCACTTAGTCGGTGTTTACCAGAGATAGACGCACGCTTAGTTGACGGAACGCCGCTGGCCATACGGGAGAAGGTGGAGAGGGTAAAAGTCAACTGCGGGGGGAACTTCGGATTTACACAGGAAATGCTCGCAATGACATTGGATGGGCACGACATTTTACTGGGACGTGATTGGCTGCGACGGTATAACCCGCGAATCGACTGGACGACGGGTAGCTGCACTGTGCGAAGTAGCGGTAACTGGGTCGAATTACCTCGCTGGCAGTCGCCCGAGTCTTCAACGGTCCACATCAACGCCATCACGATGAAACGGGCTGTCGCCGCTGGAGCTGACGTGTACGCGGTGGATATCGCATTGATAGGAGAAGCCGAGTAGCCGAGTGATTTTCAGAAACTGCTGGCAGCGGTACCACCCGAACTACAGGATCTGTTAAAACGATACCCAGGGATTTTTCCCGATGCCTTACCGGAAGGACTGCCACCTCAGCGGGCACACGATCACCGAATAGAGTTAGAACCCGGGGCACAGCCAACCGTACAGCGACAGTTCAGATTGACACAGCCCGAGCTTGACTAACTGAGGAAGCAGCTAGATTATCTGTTAGAAAAGAAGTTCATCCGACCGAGCTCGTCACCGTTCGCCGCACCGATACTGTTCACGCCGAAAAAAGAAGGAGGTTTTCGCATGTGCATCGATTACAGGGCACTAAATAGGGTTACAGTCAAGTCGCGATACCCCATTCCCCGCGCCGACGAACTGATAGATCAACTTCGAACAGCACGGGACTTTTCGAAAATCGACTTACGGGGAGGTTACCACCAGATTAGGGTTGAACCATCAAACTGCGCCAAGGCAGCGTTTAGAACTAGGTACGGGTCCTTCGAGTACACTGTGATGCCCTTCGGGCTGACCAACGCACCAGCGACGTTTCAGATGACCATGAACGAGGTGTTTAGGCCACTCTTAGATAAATGTGTGATCGTTTACCTCGACGACATCCTCGTCTACAGTCGCGACAAGCAGCAGCACTTAGCAGAACTGGAAGCATTTTTTAAAATTTTAGACGAACACAGGCTACTGACCAAGGGTTCCAAGTGCGAGTTTTTTCAAGATAGGCTAGAGTTTCTGGGGCACGTTATTTCGAAGGCTGGGGTTGAGATCGACCCAAAGAAGCTGGACACGGTAAAAGCATGGCACCCCCCGACGAACATCACGGAGCTGCAGAGTTTTTTAGGGTTCGTTAATTATGTGCGTCGGTTCGTCCCCGACATGGCACGGTTAACTGCCCCACTGACGGATTTACTGCGTAAGGGGGTCGATTTTACGTGGGGGGAGAAAGAGCACGCTGCCTTCTCTGCCCTTAAAAATGTTCTCTGTTCACCGCCCGTAGTGCGCATCACCGACCCACACCGCCCTTTCGAAGTAGTTACAGACGCGAGCGACATCGCCATTGGGGCCGTCCTACTACAGGATTTCGGCAACGGCCTACAGCCCATCGCATAGGAGTCACGAAAGCTGCATCCGCCCGAGAAACATTACCCGATACACGACCGCGAAATGCTCGCGATCGTGCATGCGTTCAAGGTCTAGCGCTGTTACTTGACCGGCGCAGACGTGACAGTACGGACAGACCACAGATCACTACAGTACCTCCGCGCACAGCCCCACCTCAACCCACGACAAATCCGCTGGCTCGATTTCCTTGAGTCAAACTTCCACTACACGGTCACCTATAAAAAGGGAGCATCGAACATTGCCGACGTGCTGACCCGCCCAACTGCCCAGATCCACGCCATACTACTCGCACAGACCAGCCCGCTACTGACCGGACTATTTACCCACGGGTATCAGACAGACCCCTTCTTTACCGGAGGCAACTCGCAGCAGTTCGCAGCAGCCAAAGGGGTGTATTACGTAAAAGCAGGCACTGACCGCATCTGGGTACCGGGCTACACTTTACTAAGGGAACTGTTACTACAGGAGGCACACGACAGGGTTACCTCAGGACATTTCGGGGTAGAGAAAACACGGCAGCAGCTGCAGCGGTATTACTACTGGCCCGAGATGCTGACCGACGTACAACGACACGTGGCATCGTGTCCCACTTGCCAGCTCATGAAGTCGTCACGACAACGACCGGCAGGACAGTTGCAGCCGATACCACCCCCAGAGCGTGCTTGGCAGCAGGTGACGATGGACTTCGTCACGGGGTTACCGGCTGGAGCAAGTGGGAACGACGCGATCGTGGTCGTCGTCGATCGGCTGACGAAGATGGCACACTTCGCAGCCTGCAAGAAATCAATCATAGCCGACGAAACAGCTCGCCTCTTCATCGCCACCATCGTTCGACTACACGAGATACCAGCGGCGATCATCAGCGACCGCGACACGAAATTGACCAGCAATTTCTGGCGGAACCTGTGGCAGCAGTTCGGCACGCGACTACAGTTCAGTTCATCATACCACCCCGAAACCGACGGACAGACAGAACGGACAAATCAGACCATGGAACAGCTCATCCGAGCCACGTGCGACGACCCGACCATGTGGGAACAGCAACTGCCACTCATCGAGTTCCCGTACAACAACTCGCCATCTGCCACGACCCAACAGTCACCGTTTTACCTGAACTACGGACAAGACCCCACAGTACCCATGACCTCGAATCCCGACAACCCAGTCCCACGCGCGCAACAGTTCGCAGAAATACTGCAAGCAGCACGGACCCGAGCAGCAGAAGCAATAAAAAAATCAAACGTCATCGCTAAGCGCAACGCCGACCGACACCGCCGCCCCGTCACTTACTAACCCGACGACCTGGTATTACTTGACACTCAAAACCTCCGCCTGCCCATCACCCCAAAACTCCGCCCCCGATATTGCGGGCCATTTCGCATCAGCCACATGATCACACCCGTCACCGCCCACCTCCTCCTCCCTGCTGGTTGGTACGTCAGCCCGTCATTCCACGTAAGCCTGCTTCGCCCATACGTGCCATCCACCAGCCAACTGCCTCGCAACCGCCCTGCTAGCATGACACGACCACCGACAGAGCCAATCATCACGCCCGAAAAAATACTGAGCCACCGAGTACGTGACCCACGGAGAGCCCGTAGGATCGAATTTCTGATCCGCTGGAAAGACCGCACGCCCACCGAAGACAACCGGGTTCCCCTGGATAGAATTGAAAATCACCCTGTCCTAACTGAGTATCTGCGTAGCCGAAACTTTCGGGATGTACACGCGCTCTCGTAAGAAGGGCCTCCTTGGGGAGGGGGGTAGTGTAAGGAAAATTCCTTTTCCTTAATTCGCGTCCCTGCTTAGCGCGTACACCACTGTTCCCGCCATCGGCACCCATCAGGGGTTTTTTTTCGTTTTAAAGTACACTGGTTTCCAGAGGCGTTTTTGGGGAGACACTGAAATCCAGAGTGTTTGGCGAGCCTTTCTCTTAGGTGTCAGTATAACACAAGCTTTCCGGTTAAAAACCCTAGCACGTCAGAGTAATTTTGAACTTGACCCTGATGTGTACCCCCTGTTTCTTGCACTGTTGCATTGCAAAGAATGTTGAATATTTATAAGTCATATTAACATTGTTGTACACATTGACCCACTACAGGCTCACTCATCGTCTGCCACGTCAGACTCCCGTTCGTCGTCCGAAATGGCCTCTGGCTTGCCCTTGTCGTTTGCAGGGTGGAAGGGTGCAGGTGATTTCGTAGGCCGCCTCTTCTTCTGCTTGCGCCAGATGTCCACGACATCTGGCCACTCCACGTGGTAGTCGAGCATGTGGATGCTCATGAGTTCAGTGAGGCGCGTGTCGTTGAGAGTCGTGCGCTGCCAGCTCTTGATGATGTTCTGTCGTGAAAATCCGCGTTCGCATTCGACGGTGCTGAGTGGCAGGACGACCAACGCCTGCCACAAAGTCATGATGTTTGGGTACGTACGCGGCCAGTCGCGTGTCCTCAGCATGTTCGTCAGCGCCTGGTAGAAGTCCTCGTCCTCGTGGTGCGTCTTCATGATATGACAGAATGTCTTCAGCTCAAGTTCGGCTGCCCGCAGGTCGAATCCTGCCAAAGCAATACGCAAAGGGATGTGTTTGTGCGGAAAGTTTGGTTAGACACTTATGTATGGCACGAGGTTAAAAAAGGAAACATTTATGAATGAAACACGGGTTTATCTATTACCTGGCAGCTGGTGGTTGAAAAGTTGCAAGTTCTTGCGGAGCCAGGTGGCACAACGTCGCGCACGCGTGTCCGGATTCGATGGCCACTTGTCCACCCTGAAAAGCTTCATGCCGCCCATTCGACGAAGATCCCGCATGCGGTGCTTGAGGTTGTACACGACCTCACGGGCGAAGGCCTTGCCCATCTTCACGCAATCTGCCAGGGTACCGCGGAACTTGTGGTTTTTGACCGGCAGCTCGCTGAGTTCAATGGTGTGCTTGACGGGTCTGCCGCTAGCGTCCACACCTTCCACCTTCACCTTCTTGTCCCCTTTCTTGACACGTGCCATGAATGGCGACAAGTGAGTACTCAGTCCCGCCCCGAAAGAGCCCTCGTAGTCGATGTAGCGGTGCTCTATGAGGGACACCACACGGTCGACCTCCTCCGTGACTTGGGTCACCTCCACCTGCGGGACCGGGTCAAGCAAAGAAATTGTTTGTTAGTCCGTTAAATATAAGGGGAAAATAAAGAACTATAAATAAATGACACAACAATATACATGGCCATGAATTACCCTGCGCCGTTGGAAGAAACGATTGAGGGAGTTCAACTCCCCCAAAAGGTCTGCCAGGAAGTACAGACAGAAGTGAAACGTCAAGGTCTTCACAACCGCGGCGATCTTGTGCTTGTACTCCAGGAACAGCACGATTGCCGACCCCAGAATCTTGACCAGCCGGTTGACTGCATCGGCTCGGGAAAGCCATCGCACGTCGAACAACCCCTGGTGCTCGAGGTTGGTGCTGTGGATCACGAGTTGAAGCTCCTTGAACCTCTCGTACCAGGGCGTGGATCTCCCCACGATCTCGCCAACTGCCCGGATGGCCTTGTCCACCATGCTGAAGTCTTTGAACTGCTCGTCACCGGCAGTGTCCTTCACCGCGAGTGCTTCACTGCAAGCAGATTTAGAAAACAACGTATACGTGGGTTAAATAACAGTCAATACTTGAAAAAAGGAATACATGTCAATCACTTGTCAAACATAGTAGCAGACGGGCCTAGGCTTAGTAGCCTAGGCCAAGCTAAGACTAGGAAGGAGGCGCCAAGTACGATCGAGAGATGTGTGTAGACGGAAACACAATTGAAGAAAGGGAGGATTGGACTAGCAAGCAGCAGGATACAAATAGGAAACCCCAAGGGGCTGTACTCACTATTGAGTACCCCACTGCAGGCTACACAAATAACATACTCTGACACACCCCCATAGCCAAAGTGGGGTGTAATCAGCACAATGAGCAGGCAGTGCAATAGTTCACAATTATGAGCAAAGCTAGAGGCAGTCACAGAAGGCAAGTGAGGAGGAGGAGGGACTGTGGGAGGAGAGAAGATGGGAGGCGACGACTGAAGCTGCAGACACACGGGCAACAGGAGCAGCAGCTGGCACAGTGGCTACCGAGAGCACGACGGCTCCGGACTACAGGAGTAACAGGCTCTGCGGCTACGACGAGCGGCAGGAGCAACGGACCCACGGGCGACTGGCGCAGCAGGCTCGCTGGGCTACTAGAGCGCGACGGCTCCGGACTACAGGCGCTGCGGACGACAAGACGGCTGCCTCCACTCAACCTCCCCCAACTGTCCCGCACCCCCCCCACACACCCCCTGCTGCACCCCTAGCTCCACTCCCACGTCACCCCCCTAGCTCCACTCCCCGCGGCTCCCACACCTCCACCCCCCTCAGCAGCAGCTGCAGTAGTGGGAGACGAAAAAGGAGGAGGGGAAAGGGAAGGGGAGCACCCACACCTCGCACCCCCATGCTCGCCACCCCACACCCCCACCACCACGGAACGCACGGCGGAATGGGAGAAATGGGCAGCACGGGGGGGGGGGGGACGGGACGGGCTTCTGCAGGGGCGGCTCGCGCGGGTCCTGGGGCGAGTGCTGCAGGCACGGGCTGCTCCAGGGGCGGCTGCTGCAGGTGCGGGCTGCTCCAGGGGCGGCTGCTGCAGTGGCGGGCGGCTCCAGGGGCGGCCGCTGCAGGTGACAGGTAGGAGGGAGGGGGGGGGGGGGGGGAGGAGCGCGGCCCCCAGGGCGCCCCGACGGGCGACGAGAAAGGGAGCCGCGCGGCCCCCCAGGGCCGCCGCGACGGGCGACGGGAAGGGCGCCGCGCGGGCCCCCAGAGCCGCCTCGACGCGCGACGGGAGGGGACCGCGCGCGGGCCCCCGTGGTCGCCACGACGGGCGACGGGAGGGGAGGCCGCGCGGGCCCCCGAGAGCGCCACGACGGGCGACGGGAGGGGAGGCCGCGCGGGCCCCCGAGAGCGCCTCGACTGGCGACGGGAGGGGACCGCGCATGCCCCCCAAGGGCACCACGACGGGCGCCACGGAAGGGTAAACCGCCACGCGCCTCGAGCGCGCGGCGGGCAGAAATTAGGGTTTCTGCGCCGCGCACCACGGGGCGCGCGGCGGACAGTACGGCAGCGGAAGCAGGTGGTGGGCCCATACAGGAAGGCGGCAGTGACACGCCGCCCTCTGATACCATGTCAAACATAGTAGCAGACGGGCCTAGGCTTAGTAGCCTAGGCCAAGCTAAGACTAGGAAGGAGGCGCCAAGTACGATCGAGAGTTGTGTGCAGACGGAAACACAATTGAAGAAAGGGAGGATTGGACTAGCAAGCAGCAGGATACAAATAGGAAACCCTAAGGGGCTGTACTCACTATTGAGTACCCCACTGCAGGCTACACAAATAACATACTCTGACATCACTCGCTCAGCCCCAAACACGTACCGATGCGCAATGCAGTGGCAGCCGACCAGGTGGGGGACGTGGACGCGCAGTCGTGTGACAAGTCCTGACGTGCCCCCGATCATCACTGCCTCGCCGTCCGTGGACATACCAGAAATCTTCTGCAAGTCGACGCCGACCGTCTCGAGATGCTGGAGCAGAACGCCCAAGAGCCCTGCTGCATCACACTGCTGGACGGTTAGTAACGCGAGAAACTCGGTTACAACCACGTTGTTTTTGAGGAAGGTGGCAAACACAATCATGTGTTTGCCACGTGCGCGATCGGTACTCTCGTCGCACATGAGGCCGATGAAGGGCGAAGCGTGGAGTTGGCGCAATTGTTCTCTGGTCAGGTACACGGTGAGAGCCCGGACCATCTCGGAGAAACCGTACCTGCAAACACACAAAGCACAACGCCTTAGCATCAAGAAACACAAATATGTGCTTTCAAAAAGTGCAATACAACCACTCACTGAGTGATGTACACTCCGTAGCTTTGACGCGGTATGTTGGCGACCCCCTCCTCGGCGAGAAGCTGAACGACCTGAGGGTACATGTGGATGGGTGTGTCGGTACGGCATACAAATCGCATGGCTCGCATGAGAACCGCGACGCGACAACCTTCGGGATCTCCCTTCGCGAAGTCTTCAATCTTCTTTTGGTCCGCGATTTTCTGCAAAAGGTTAGCCTGCTTGTTCATCGCGTCTTCGTGCTTCGCGCTGTTCTCATGCCACCGCATCGACCCGATCTGCAGATCACGTCCGCCAGCGCCATTGTGACCGTAACGCGCGTTGTCCTTTCCGTGCTCCATGCAGACACTGCATCGCAGACACGGGTCACCCTCTGGCGTCCTGTCCAGAATCAGCCAGTCGAACTTAGGCAGCCAATCAGACGTGTAACTCTTCTGCGCCTTCAGGTACGCCTTCTCCTTCTTCTCCTCGTCTGAAAGGGGGCGAATGGGGGGTGGGGCAGGACGGGGAGGGGGAGCGACAGGCCTCGGCGGCGGAGTTCCCCACTGAAGAACCTGCTGCGTCATTCGTCGCTTTTTCGAAGCCATTGAACCAGTCGACTCCGGAGTCGCCGCATCGATAACCTGTGTAGCAACCGTCGCAGCCGGCTCTGCAGCAACCTCGTTTCGCGGCGAGGCGACCAACTCCTCAATACCGTCAGACTCTGCAGCATCATTCATCGTGCGCGGAGATGGACACCACGCATCGTTCCCTTCTTCCATGTCGCCACTTTCCATGCGCGGACGTCGCGCCCATTCGGTACCGCCATCGCCCAGCGCCTCTTCATCGCGAACGTGAGCTTCATGCACCCCGCGCAGAAACTGAAGCCCAGTCACAGGGCGTGTGCTACATGACGGCATGTCGTCGGGATCAGCCGCGTCTCCCTCGGTGTCGCTAGAATCCATGGTCTGGAGAAGGCTAAACAAAGCTACTGGAGGCGGGGTTGTGTCTGGAGAAGCCCACGGTACAGATGCTAGACTGGAGCATTGAAGAGCACTGCCTTGGGAGCAAATGTAATGGGAGGACTGGAACGGGTTTGATGGTGACCCCGTCTGCCAGCCGAGCAACAGGTGTGGATGTGCGTGCCGCGCACGAAATCGGTGCACCAAAGAAAGTTGCCATATCATGCCCGTAATGTGTGGAATGTTCATCGCTGTTGGAGTACGCAAAGCCAGCGATGTATCTACTCGGTGGCTGCCAGCGTGCGCTGGCTAGAAAGATGCCTTTCCGGCCAATCAGAACCTCAGGTAGTGCCAACACACGAGTGAAAGGAGAGTGATATCCCCTGCGCTTCGGTAAAAAACCGGCAGTACAGGGATAAGGGGGTACGTGGGGGTTCGGGGGTACATGTATCCCCTGTACAGAGAAATCTCACTATCCAGGAAAGAAACACTGGCGCTTCAGAGTGAACTTCCACTAAAACCCTGACAAGTCAGAGAACAACTAACTCTCAAAAAATTTACCCAGCATGTACAGAGTGACCCCCCAAAAACCACTCTGATTTTCAGAGAAACAGAGTAAATTACACTGATAAAAAAACCCCTGGCACCCATCCGTGAACGTTACCCGCTCGTGACATTCGCCTCGACCACGACTCCCGCCACTGTTCACGATGCGACCCAACCTCACGGTTCGGATGGTAACCCGCGCTCCGGACCTCCGCCTCGACAATTCCCAACCTCGGCGCTAGGCCCCAATTTCCCGCATTACCGTTACCACGCTAGCTTCGTTATATAACTTCGCTCATGCTTTTCGCTCAACTGTATTGTTTGCTTCGACAGTGCAATCCTCGCTCGCTCGCTCCATTGCACTCGCAACACCCTGGCCAAAGAAACCGGATTTGTCATAAAAATGTTCCCTTTTTAGCAGGGTTGGGCAACTGCGTCACTCAAATAAAACAGCAATTTTGTTGATATGGAAGACGTTGAAATACATATTATAGTCCTGGTTGCACTTGTTCATTTATACACGCCTTAAAGGAATAGACGGGCAGTGAAGCAGAGAATTGCAGAGAGGACCTGCAATGGATGGAGAGAGAGGGAGGTAACATAGGAGGGAGAGGGGAGAGGGGTGCAGGAGGGGGGACAAGGGGGGAGAACGGGGAAGGGTAAGTGAAATGGGGTGTATTTTTAGGGACATGCATTGGGGTATATTGTAAGGGACATGCGTTAGGGAGGAGGCCAATAGTGAAGGAGATGTTGCAGCAATGCTCGACAATGCCGTGCAATGCCATACAATGCCAGACAATGTCATGCCGTGGCCGCCAATGGACTGCAAAGGATGCATGTGGGTATGAGACATAATGGAGAAAGGAGAGAACGGAAACGGAGGAGCGTGGGATGCAGTGGGGAAGAAGGTATAAGCCACACCCCTGTGATTGCGCCTACGCATGCCGATATTCGGTCATTTGCACACGGCGAAGAAATAAAATAAAAAAAGGAGAATGGTGTTGGGAACGTGGCACCTGGAAGAGCAGCAGGCGGATGCAGAGCTGTTCCTCGGTGCACGGGCCGAAGAGGCGCAAGAAGAGGTTCACCAGATTGAGGTCGTTGCTGCCTGTCAGACGATGGGTGGCTGGGTCGAACCTGGTGTGGGGAAGGGCGTAGGCAGAGAGGGGAAAGGGGAGAGCAGGTTGAGAGAGAGGGGGAAAGGAGGGGAGGAGGCTGACCAGGTTGAGGTAGTTGCTGCCCGTCAGGCGGTAGGGTCGAACCTGGTGTGAGGGAGGGAGCAGAGAGAAAGTGGGGTGTGAGAGAGAGGGTGAGACTGAAGAGGTTCACCAAGTTGAGATCGTTGCTGCCTGTCAGGCGGTGGGTGGCTGGTTCAAATCTGGTGGGAGGGAGGGCGAACGAGAGGCAAATGAGAGCGCAGGTTCAGGATTGAAGGAGGGCCGAAGAGGTGCAGAAAGAGGTTGACGAGGTTGAGATCGTTGCTGCCTGTCAGGCGGTGCGTGGCCGGGTCGAACCTGGTGGGGGGATACAGAGCAAGTTAGAGAGGGAGTGGGTGGGACAGTGAGACGGGGTTGACCACGTTCAGGTTGAGATCGTTGCTGCCTGTCAGGTGGTGCGTGGCCGGGTCGAACCTGGTGTGGTGTGAGAGAGGGCGTAGGCAGAGAGGGGAAGGGAGGTGGTGAGAGAGAGAGTGATTTGTTTGAGAGAGGGTGGGAGGAGGGGAGGAGGTTGACCAGATTGGGATCGTTGCTGCCTGTCAGACGGTGTGTGGCCGGGTCAAACCTGGTGGGGGGAACAGAGTACGTGGAGAGGAAGAGATGTGTAAGAGGAAAAAAGGGGGAGGGTGAGGTGACGGTGTGTGGACGGGTCGAACCTGGTGGGGGGAAGGGCGTAGGCAGAGAGGAAAGGGGCTGAGAGAAAGTGGGGAACGGAGAGGAGTGGGGAGGTGGAAGGGGGAGGGGGGGGGTGGGAGGGGTGGTGAGGGGAGAAGGTTGACTGGGTTGAGGTCATTGCTGCCTGTCAGGTGGTGTGTGGCCGAATAGAGGTGCATGTTATTGCACGAGCAGTTTTGAGACGTCTCAAAACAACTCTGTTCACACGTGTGTGGCGGAATAGAGGCGCATGTCATTGCACGAGCAGAGGCTTGGGTACTCACTTGGCAGGCAGGCAGAATCTTCGGCGCGGCACAATATTGAGTAGCTGAGACAGGGCGAGGGGCGAGGGGGGCGAAAGGGGGGAAGGGAACGTAGATGAGACCACAAGGGGGGAAGGGAACGTAGATGAGACCACAAGGGGGGAAGGGAACGTAGATGAGACCACAAGGGGGGAAGGAAACGTAGATGAGACCACAAGGGGGGAAGGGAACGTAGATGAGACCACAAGGGGGGAAGGGAACGTAGATGAGACCACAAGGGGGGAAGGGAACGTAGATGAGACCACAAGGGGGGAAGGGAACGTAGATGAGACCACAAGGGGGGAAGGGAACGTAGATGAGACCACAAGGGGGGAAGGGAACGTAGATGAGACCACAAGGGGGGAAGGGAACGTAGATGAGACCACAAGGGGGGAAGGGAACGTAGATGAGACCACAAGGGGGGAAGGGAACGTAGATGAGACCACAAGGGGGGAAGGGAACGTAGATGATACCACAAGGGGGGAAGGGAACGTAGATGAGACCACAAGGGGGGAAGGGAACGTAGATGAGACCACAAGGGGGGAAGGGAACGTAGATGAGACCACAAGGGGGGAAGGGAACGTAGATGAGACCACAAGGGGGGAAGGGAACGTAGATGAGACCACAAGGATCATGGCTCCTTCTCATGATTAGATTGTTAGCGATTCTTTAGACTTCTAACAGGAAACTATTACAGGGACGAGAGGGGAACTTCTATGAGATGAGACAATAAGGATATCACATCAGAGTGACTTTATTTGGAATTTCACTTGGAAAGAAGATGACGCACCTGGGGAACGGAGTAGATGGCATGGCATGGCATGGCATTGATAATCTGAGGTGCCTCAAAAGCCACATGCATTGAGACGAGATTTTAGGCTTGTACAAAACTGGCGCACCTGGGGAGGAATGGATAGCATGGCATTGATGACCCGAGGGAGCAATAGCCTCGAAAATCGACTCGATAGCAGTAGCAGTAGCAAAAGCAGACTTGATATATGAGGCGCCTCGAAAATCGTCTCAATACACGCGGCTTTGAGGAGCCAAAACAACAATTATGCACCTAGGCAACGGATTAGATGGCATTGATAACCTGCTTGAGATGGGTTTTGGTTTGGAACACCTCGAGAATTGACGCACCTGGGGAACGAAGTAAACTGCATTGATAACCTGAGGGAGCATCAGCAGCAGCAGAGTCTCACTGGAGGAAGGGAAGGGGGAAGATTTTGTTTCCTGCTTTTTAGAATCGATAACCCGAAGGAGGAATTGCAGCAGCAGAGTTTCAATGGAGGGAGGGGAAGAGAGAAGAACGGCAGGTAGGGAGGAGTGTGTTGGGGAGAGGCGAGGAGAATAGGTTGGCTGCACATGATGTAGCAAGAAAAGAGGAGATTGATGGACAGATAAGGACAACGCGACGGCTTGAAGCGTTGATATGGAAAGTTGCATATTCTGATAAGCACTGGTTACTGCTAAACACTAGCAACTGATAAGCACAAGCTACTGAAGTGGAGCAGTCACCTGAAGTGTCCCAAAATGCCGACCACTGCCAGTGTAATTCCAGCAAAGTAGGTGAATGTGTCACCCACAAATACCTGCGAGGGGTACCTGGGAGAGAAAGATGAGGGGAGAGGGGAGAATTTGAAAGGGAAGAAAGGGAGAAGGCGAGAATAGTTTGAACGAATAGAGTGAATGTGTCACCCACAAAGACCTGCGAGGGGTACCTGGGAGGGAAAAGGGGTCAGCCTTCCAAGCTGATTGGACGCACAACGTACCAGTTGGAATCTCAAGTACGAATGTGTCGTCCACAACACAACGTACCAGTTAAAGACCAGCAGGGCGAGCGTGCAGGCAAGAAGCGGCAGGATGAGGTAGATGGAGAAGAGGTGGGCCTGCTGCATGTCCGGCTGCAGAGGCAACTTAAAGCCCGGCAGCTCGCCAATTTGCCATATGTTGAACAGCAGTACCTGAGGCAGTGAGAGTGAGGAGAGGGCAGGAAGGAGGGGAGAGGAGAGGTGGAGTAAAGGAGAGTAAGGGAGAGTAAAGGACAGAGAGAGAACGTTGATGGAATTGGGGCAGAAGACAAGGAAGATGCCCAGATACACCATGTACAGCACGCCCAGATCCCACACCCAACAACACTATGCTTCTTCTCCGTCATTGTCCCTCTCACAGCAAGTGTTGGCTGAGGCACGGAAGGAGGTGGAGCAACTGACAAGTCAGTTGTCTGTTGCTGCTACCCAGACTGGAGGCGCTAAAATCAAGTTGTGAGGCGCTTCAAGGGGTTTTGATTGAGCAAAATGAGACAGCTGCCGCCGACATTGCTGCTGTTGTTGACAACGGACGTCTCTTGCTAGTGAGTGTTCTCCTGCTGCCTCTCATTTCTTCTCCTTGTCCTTTGCACCCCCACCACCCCCAAAAGCCACTTACCTCTTGCACCGTTTCTTTTTTCTACCTCCTCCGTTTTTTCCATCGCTCTGTCCTCCCGTTTTATCCACCATAGCTTTGTTGTGCCATAGTTTCTTCTCACGGAGAGCCCACGTTCTACGTGAGAGACGATGGGAGGGAGAGCACCCTGGAACGGGACACCGTCCGCTGCCCTCTCTCGGCTCTCTGTGTGCGAATCAACCCCCTCTGCTGCTGGAGCACCATCGGGTGTCTTGCCCTGACCGATAAACTCCATAGTGCTCCAGCAGCAGAGGAAGCGGGTAGAAGGGGTTGACTCGCACATAGAGAGTCGAGAGAGGGCAGCGGACGGTGTCCCGTTCCAGGATGCTCTCCCTCTCATCGTCTCTCACGTAGCACGTGGGCTCTCCCTGAGAAGAAACTATGGCGCAACAAAGCTATGGTGGATAAAACGGGAAGAGAGAGCGATAGAAAGAAATGGAGGAGGTAGAGAAAAGAAACGGTGCAAAATGTAAGTGACTTTTGTGGGTGGTGGGGGTGCAATGGACAAGGAGAAGAAACGAGGCAGCAGAAGAACAACCACCCGCAAGAGACGTCCGTTGTCAACAGCAGCAGCAATGTCGGCGGCCGCTGTCTCCTTGTGCTCAATCAAAGCCCTTTGAAGCGCCTCACAATTTGTCTTTAGCGCCTTAGTCTGGGTAGTAGCAACAGACAACTGACCAGTCACCTGCTCCACCTCCTTCCGTGCCTCATCCAACACTTGCTATAAGAGGGACAATGAACGAAAAGAAGCACAGTGGAAACGAACCACAACAGCACCTCCTGCTCTTGCAGCTGGTAGAAAGCACCTCTCTCTATCTTTCTCTCTGTTTGTTTCTCGCTCTCCTTCACTTTCTTTGGCCCTTTCTCTTTCTCTGGCTCTTTCTGTATCTGCCTGTCTCTTTGTCTTCCTCAACCTCTCTCTCCTTCACTTTCTCTGTCTTACCGCAGCAGCGATCACAGCGTTCTGCCCGGCCTCCAGCCCGTTGATCCCACCAAGGATGTTGATGAAGTTGGTGGTGCAGAACACCACTAGCACATACACCTTGTAAAGCACGCCCAGGTGTATGCATGCATGCATGCCTTGGAAAGAGTTTCAAACCCACACTTACCGCAGCGGCGATCACAGCGGTCTGCTCGGCCTCCAACCCGTTGATTCCAGCAAGGATGTTGATGGAGTTGGTGCAGAAGACCACGAGAACCACCAGGCACACCTTGTACAGCACGCCAAGGTCCCACGTTGCTGCCTCCCCCCCTGACCCTGCTGCCTCCCCCCCTGACCAAGCCAGCCCTGCCAGCAGCGGCCGCAGCGGCTTGGGAATGACAATGGTGGTGTGGCCGGAATAGGCCATGAGGAGAGGCAGCGATGCGATGGCGGGGAATATGATTTTGCTGCGGGGGAGATGGAGGTGGGGCGGGGCCAGGCGGAAAAGAGGGAGGAAAACCGTGGAGGCAGGGAGGGGTAAAACGAAAGGGCTGGGGGATGGCGATGGTGGTGTGGCCGGAATAGGCCATTAGGAGAGGCAGGGATGCGATGGCGGGGAAAATGAGCTTGCTGCGGGGGAGGAGGGGCAGGGCCAGGGGGGAAAGAGGGAGAGGAAGGGGGAAAGGTGGGGACGGGGGAGCAACGAAGGGGCTTGGGGATGACGATGGTGGTGTGGCCGGAATAGGCCATGAGGAGAGGCAGGGAGGCGATGAAGGGGAATACGATTTTGCTGCGGAAAAGGTGGAGGTGGGGAGGGGTCAGGAGAGGAAAGAGGGATGGGAAGGCGGGGGAGTCGGTGAACGGAGAGCAACGGATGACGATGGTTGGCAGTGTGAGCACCACACTGTCAGAATGTTATATTTTTCTAGTCTGCAGTGGAGTACTCTATAGTGAGTACAGCCATGTTAGGGTTTGCTATATGTACTCAACTGCCTGCTAGTGAAATCACTCTGTCTCTGTTCTCATTTCTCCTTCGTAAAACCTAAACCCTAGCCATGGCTACTAAGCTCTAGCTAGGACTCTGACATGCTATCAGAGCGAGTACGCTCTTGGCCTGTGGGCCCACATGCTTCCGCTGCTATCCTGTCTGTCGCGCGCCCCGTGGCGCGCGACGTTTTTTTTCTTCCCGCCACGCGCTCGGGGCGCATGGCGGTTTTCTGCCCGCCGCGCGCTCGGGGCGCGCGGCGGTTTTCTGCCCGCCGTGCGCCCCGAGGCGCGCGGCGGTTTACTGCCTCACGCGGCGCCCCGGGGGCCCGCGCGCTGCCCTGCCCGTCGCCCGTCGCGGCTCCCTGGGGGGCCGCGCGTCGCCCTGCCCGTCGCCCGTCGCGAAGCCCTGGGGGCGCGCGCGTCCCCCCCCCTTCCCGTCGCCCGTCGCGGCTCCCTGGGGGCCCGCGCGCCGCCCTGCCCGTCGCCCGTCGCGGCGCCCTGGGGGGCCGCGCGTCGCCCTGCCCGTCGCCCGTCGCGGCGCCCTGGGGGCCATCGCGTCGCCCCCCCCTCCCGTCGCCCGTCGCGGCGCCCTGGGGGGCCGCGCGTCGCCCCTCCCGTCGCCCGTCGCGGCGCCCTGGGGGGCCGCGCGTCACCCCTCCCGTCGCCCGTCGCGGCGCCCTGGGGGCCCGCGCGTCGCCCCCTCCCGTCGCTCGTCGAGGCGCCCTTGGGGCCCGCGCGCCGCCCCGCTTCCGCTCACACGCCGCCCCAGCTGCTGCCCGCGTTTCTGCCCTGCGTTGGGGGTATGGGGGTGGCGGGTATGGGGGTGGCGGGTGTGTGAGCCGTCCCCTGCTCCTCCTCCTCCTCCGTCTCCCACTACTGCAGCTGCCGCTGAGGGGGGTGGGTGTGTGGGAGCCGAGGGAGTGGCGTTAGGGGGGTGACGTGGGAGTGGAGCTAGGGGTGCAGCAAGGGGTGTGTGAAAGGGGGGTGGGACAGTTAGGGGAGGTTGAGCGGAGGTAGCCGTCGTGTCGCCAGCAGCGCGTCCGGAGGCTACAATCTCCGGTAGTCGCCAGTCGCCCGTGGGTCAGTTGCTCCAGCCGCTCGGCGTAGCCGCGGAGCCAGTTACTCCTGAAGTCCGGGCCATTGCTTCGGTAGCCACTGAGCCAGCCGCTCCTGTGTGTCTGCAGCTTCCGCCGTCACCTCCCATCTCCTCTCCTCTCACAGTCCTTCCTCCTCCTCACTTGCCCTTTGTGAATGCCTCTAGCTGTGCTTGTACTTGTGAACCTGCTCTATGACTGCTTGTTGTGCTGATTATACCCCACTTTGACTATGGGGGTGTGTCAGAATGTTATATTTCTCTAGTCTGCAGTGGGGTACTCTATAGTGAGTACAGCCCTGTTAGGGTTTGCTATATGTACTCAACTGCCTGCTAGTGAAATCACTCTTTCTCTGTTCTCATTTCTCCTTCGTAAAACCTAAACCCTAGCCATGGCTACTAAGCTCTAGCTAGGACTCTGACACACACCACACCACACCACACCGTGTGGTCGGAGTAGGCCACGAGGAGAGTTAGGGAGGCGAATGAGCTCCTTGGGGCGGGGGCGGGAAAGGCCAGCCAGCCAGCCGGGGTGCAATACCTAGAACCGTATTGTTCCTGCAACTGTAAGAGCAGCCCAGCACTCACTCACACGCGTCTCTAGACATCTCACAACCGTGTTTTCCGGCTATAAGGCCCTGCAGCTCCATGCAGCAGGGGCTGAATTTGAGGTACGTGTAGAGAGGGTGTTTTTGAGACGTCTCAAAAACACCGTCTCTAGAGGTCTCACAACCGTGTTTTTCGGCTATGAGGCCCTGCAGTGCAGCTCCATGCAGCAGGGGCTGCATTTGAGGTACCTCAGCTCAGAACATTCCCCAGCGCCCATTCCCCAGCGCCCATTCCCCAGCGCCCATTCCCCAGCGCCCATTACCCAGCGCCCATACCCCAGTGCCCATTCCCCCGCGCCCATTCCCCAGCGCCCATTCCCCAGTGCCCATTCCCCAGCGCCCATACCCCAGCGCCCATTCCCCAGCGCCCATTCCCCAGCGCCCATTTCCCAGCGCCCATACCCCAGCGCCCATTCCCCAGCGCCCATTCCCCAGCGCCCATACCCCAGCACCCATTCCCCAGCACCCAGGCCAGCACCCAGTCACACGCGGCTGGGTGTCTCGAGCACGTCGTCTATGAAACCCTGCAGCACCATGCAGCCGATGCACGCTAGAGGCGCCTCAAGACTGTCCCAGCGCCCAGCCCATCCCAACACCCACTCACACACGGCTGGGTGTCTCAAGAGTGTCCCAGCGCCCAGCCCATCCCAACACCCACTCACACACGGCTGGGTGTCTCAAGACTGTCCCAGCGCCCAGCCCATCCCAACACCCACTCACACACGGCTGGGTGTCTCAAGACTGTCCCAGCGCCCAGCCCATCCCAACACCCACTCACACATGGCTGGGTGTCTCAAGACTGTCCCAGCGCCCAGCCCATCCCAACACCCACTCACACACGGCTGGGTGTCTCAAGACTGTCCCAGCGCCCAGCCCATCCCAACACCCACTCACACACGGCTGGGTGTCTCAAGACTTTCCCAGCGCCCAGCCCATCCCAACACCCACTCACACACGGCTGGGTGTCTCAAGACTGTCCCAGCGCCCAGCCCATCCCAACACCCACTCACACACGGCTGGGTGTCTCAAGACTGTCCCAGCGCCCAACCCACTCACCCATCCCAGTACATCATCTATGAAGCCCTGCAGCACCATGTATGCAGGCGCCTCAAAAACACTCCCCTGCACCCCTACCCCAGCACCACCCAGGTCAGCACTCTCTCACCCACTCACACACGGCTGGGTGTCTCGAGCACGTCGTCTATGAAACCCTGCAGCACCATGCAGCCGATGCAGGCCAAGGCCGCATTGTACTGCACGAGCCACTGGAGGGGGTGGAGAGGGGGAGAGCCGAGGAGGGGAGGGAGGAGGCAGGGAGAGCAGAGGACTGAAGCCCTGCAGCACCATGCAGCCGATGCAGGCCAAGGCCGCATTGTACTGCACGAGCCACTGGAGAGGGGGGGAGAGGGGGAGAGCCGAGGAGGGGAGGAAGGAGGCAGGGAGAGCAGAGGACTGAAGCCCTGCAGCACCATGCAGCCGATGCAGGCCAAGGCCGCATTGTACTGCACTAGCCACTGGAGGGGGGGTGAGAGGGGGAACAGGGAGAGTAGAGGAGGGGAGGGAGGGGGCAGGGAGCAGGGGAATGAAGCCCTGCAGCACCATGCAGCCGATGCAGGCCAAGGCCGCATTGTACTGCACTAACCACTGGAGGGGGGGTGCGAGGGGGAGCAGGGAGAGCAGGGGGCGGGGGAAGGGAGCAGAGGAATGAAGCCCTGCAGCACCATGCAGCTTATGCACGCCAAGGCCGCATTGTGCTGTACCAGCCACTGGGCAAGGTGAAAGGGGGAAGGGGGGGAGGAGGGAAGGCAGCGGAAAGGGGGGACAGGGAAGAGAGTGATTGAGAGGAGAGGGGGTTCGCAGAGGAAAAGGGGAGGGGGCGGAAGGTGGAAGAGGAATCACCAGAGCAAACACCTGCACACTCACCTGCACAAACACCTGCACAAACACCTGCACAAACACCTGCACAATCACCACGTGCAATCACCTGACGAATCACCTGCGCGGTCACCTGGGAAGGCACTCACAGGCGAGTCAGGCGTGAAGTGGAAATACTGGAAGACGACGGCTACCACCAGATACACGATCGCCACCACCAGACCCTGCGCCTCGGGGCTGCAAAGGGTGGGGAACGTGCATGCAGGGGAACACAGGGCACCGCACGGGGCTTCTCAGTCTCCCACCAGAAACACGATCGCCACCCACCACCAGACCCTGCGCCTCGAAGCTGGGAGTGTGGGGGAAGCATGGCATGCCGAGCATGCTTGTGTCACGTTTGAAAAGTTTCAAAAGTGGGGGAAGCATTGCATCGCGAGCACGGGGGTGCGCGGCTGGAAAAAGGAAATGCACAATACCAACTACCTACCCACCCATGAACACAAGGGGAGGGAGGGAAAGAGGTGAGTGGAAGTGGGAATAATGCACAGTACTAACCAGTCGTTCCAGGGTATACATGGACATCACTACTCCCCTCCTTAGATTAATTACACATGATATCGAGAGTTGAGAGCATCGCTCGTTAGCATCACATCTGAGCAGTGCTCCTACATCCCCACTGCGCTTCGCACCGTTCGTTATACTCACATCTTGATTTCCCCAGCCGGGGAACCTATCTTGTTAATATCGTATCCGAACATGTTTCTCCGCAACATATAAGGCACCGCCTTCGGAATCAGCTTCGTCTTTACAACGAATCCCGCGACACTCATTGCAGCGTTGATTGCGATCGACCATCGTACTAACGGATCAAGCTTCAGCACGAGAAACGCGACTATAACGGGAGTCAGGACGCACGCCGCGAAGATCCCCACGCGGACGCGCTTCGACCATCTGTTCAGCGGCGGAGCAACAACGCTCATCTTGAAAATGGGAGGGTTCAAAACCTCCCTTGCGAGTTACTGTTGAGGTATTCATCTGAAGGCTGCTTTCCAGTTTCTAGAAACCGTGCGGGCAGTAGGTGCGAAAGGTTTGGGCATTCGAAACGTAAACGTACGGAAGAGTGACTTAGTGGTCCTGTACAAGTACTGTAGAAATGAATCTGTGTGAAGCGATTTTCCTGGGCGGGTTTTGCTTGTCCGTTGAGATTTACGGGATAATATACCTCAGCGGACGAAATTGAGTGAGCGAGCGATTGAGTGAGCGAGCAATTGAGTGAGCGAGCAATTGAGTGAGCGAGCAATTGAGTGAGCGAGCAATTGAGTGAGCGAGCAATTGAGTGAACGAGCAATTGAGTGAACGAGCAATTGAAAGAGCGAGAATTGGACTATCGAAGCAAGAGTACAATGAGCGAAGGCACGAGCAAAGAATATAAAGCGAAACTACAGTGGTAACGTGGTAACGGTAATGCGTGAAAATGGGGTGCCGAGGTTGGGAATTGTCGAGGCGAAGGTCCGGAGCGCGGGTTACCGACCGAACCGTGAGGTTTGGTCGCGGCGTGAACAGTGGCGGGAACAGTAGTCGAGGCGAGTGGTAACGGTTTACTGTTGGGTGCTGTTGGCGGGAACAGTGGTGTACGCGCTAAGCAGGGACGCGAAGTAAGGAAAAATGAATTTTCCTTACACTACCCCCCCCCCCCCCCCTAAGGAGGCCCTCCTTACGAAAGCGCGTGTACATCTCGGAAATTTCGGCTGCGGAGATACTCGGTGAGGACGGGGTGGTTTTCAATTCTGTCCACGGGAACCCAGTTGTCTTCAGTGGGCGTGCGGTCTTTCCAGCGGATCAGAAATTCGATCCTGCGAGCTCCCCGTGGGTCACGAACTCGGTGGCTCAAAATCTTTTCGGGCATGATGATTGGCTCTATTGGCGGTCGTGTCATGCTGGCGAGGCGATTGCAAGGCAGTTGGCTGGTGGATGGTACGTATGGGCGGAGCAGGCTGACGTGGAAGGACGGGCTGACGTACCAGTCTGCAGGGAGGAGGAGGTGGGCAGTGACGGGTGTGATCATGTGGCTAATGCGAAATGGCCCGCAATATCGGGGCGGAGTTTCGGGGTGATGGGCAGGCGGAGGTTTTGGGTGTCGAGTAAAACTAGGTCGTCGGGCTGGTAAGTGACTGGCCTGCGGTGGCGGTCGGCGTTGCGTTTAGCGATGACGTTGGCCTTTTTTATTGCGTCAGCTGCCCGGGTCCGTGCTGCCTGTAGGATTTCTGCGAACTGTTGCGCACGTGGTACTGGGTTGTCGGGATTCGGGGTCATGGGTACTGTGGGGTCTTGTCCCTAGTTCAGGTAAAACGGTGACTGTTGGGTCGTGGCGGATGGTGAGTTGTTGTACGCGAACTCGATGAGTGGTAGTTGTTGTTCCCAGGTGGTCGGGTCGTCGCACGTGGCTCGAATAAGTTGCTCCATGGTCTGGTTTGTCCTTTCTGTTTGTCCGTCGGTCTCGGGGTGGTACGAAGAACTAAACTGTAGTCGTGTGCCGAACTGTTGCCACAGGTTCCGCCAGAAGTTGCTGGTGAATTTCGTGTCGCAGTCGCTGATGATTGCTGCTGGTATCCCGTGTAATCGAACGACGGTGGAGATGAAGAGGCGGGCTGTTTCTTCGGCTGTGATTGATTTCTTGCAGGCTGCGAAATGTGACATCTTCATCAGCCGATCGACGACGACCAGGATCGCGTCGTTCCCACTTGCTCCAGCCGGTAACCCCGTGACGAAGTCCATCCTCACCTGCTGCCAAGCACGCTCTGGGGGTGGTATCGGCTGCAATTGTCCTGCCGGCCGCTTCCGTGATGATTTCATGAGTTGGTAGGTGGGACACGATGCCATGTGTCGTTGCACGTCGGTCAGCATCTCGAGCCAGTAGTAATACCGCTGCAGCTGCTGCCGTGTTTTTTCTACTCCGAAATATCCTGAGGTAACTCCGTCATGTGCTTCCTGTAGTAACAGCTCCCTTAGTAAAGTGTAGCCCGGTACCCAGATGCGGTCAGTGCCGGCTTTTACGTAGTAAACCCCCTTTGCTGCTGCGAACTGCTGCGAATTTCCACCTGTGAAGAATGGGTCCGTCTGATATCCGTGGGTAAATAGTCCTGTTAGTAGCGGGCTGGTTTGGGCGAGTAGTATGGCGTGGATTTGGGCAGTGGGGCGGGACAGTGCGTCGGCGATGTTTGATGCCCCCTTTTTGTAGGTGACCGTGTAGTGAAAATTTGACTCGAGAAAATCGAGCCAGCGAATCTGTCGTGGGTTGAGGTGGGGCTGTGCGCGGAGGTACTGTAGTGATTTATTATCTGTCCGTACTGTCACGTCTGCGCCGATCAAGTAGCAACGCCACAATTTGAATGCGTGCACGATCGCGAGCATTTCGCGGTCGTGTATCGGGTAATTTTTCTCGGGCGGATGCAGTTTTCGTGACTCGTATGCGATAGGCTGTAGGCTGTTGCCGAAATCCTGTAGCAGTTTGGCTCCGATGGCGATGTCGCTTGCGTCTATAACCACTTCGAATGGGCGGTGTGGGTCGGCGATGCGGAGGACGGGCGGTGAACAGAGAACAATTTTCAGGGCAGAGAAGGCAACATGCTCTTTCTCCCCCCACGTAAAAGCGACCCCCTTCCGTAGCAGATCCGTTAGTGGGGCCGTTAACCTCGCCATGTCGGGGACGAACCAACGCACGTAATTAACGAACCTTAAAAAACTCTGCAGCTCCGTGATATTCGTCGGGGGGTGCCACGCTTTTACCGTGTCCAACTTCTTTGGGTCGATCTCAACCCCAGCCTCCGAAATAGCGTGCCCCAGAAACTCTAGCCTGACTTGAAAAAACTCACACTTGGAACCCTTGGTCAGTAGCCTGTGCTCGTCTAAAATTTTAAAAACTGCTTCCAGGTCTGCTAAGTGCTGCTGCTTGTCGCGACTGTAGACGAGGATGTCGTCGAGGTAAACTATCACAAATTTATCTAAGAGTGGCCTAAACGCCTCGTTCATGGTCATCTGAAATGTCGCCGGAGCGTTGGTCAGCCCGAAAGGCATCACATTGTACTCGAAACCTAGTTCTAAACGCTGTTTTGGCGCAGTCCGATGGTTCGACCCTAATCTGGTGGTAACCTCTCCGTAAGTCGATTTTCGAAAGACCCGTGCTATTCGCAGTTGATCTATCAGTTCGTCGGCTCGGGGAATGGGGTATCGCGACTTGACTGTAACCCTGTTCAGTGCCCTGTAATCTATGCACATACGAAACCCTCCGTCGTATTTCGGTGTGAACAGTATCGGTGCGGCGAACGGTGACGAGCTCGGTCGGATGAATTTCTTCTCTAACGGATAATCTAGCTGCTTCCTTAGTCCGTCGAGCTCGGGCAGTGTCAGTCTGAACTGTCGCTGTACGGTTGGCTGTGCCCCGGGTTCTAACTCTATTCGGTGATCGTGTGCCCGCTGAGGTGGCAGTCCCTCCAGTAAGTCATCGGGGAAAATCCCTGGGTACGGTTTCAACAGTTCCTGTAGTTCGGGCGGTACCGCTGCCAGCAGTTTCTGAAAATCACTCGGCTGCTCTGCTTCTCCTACCACTGCGATATCCACCGCGTACACGTCAGCTCCACCAGCGACAGCCCGTTTCATCGTGATGGCGTTGACGTGGACAGTTGAAGACTCGGGCAGCTGCCAGCGAGGTAGTTCAACCCAGTTACCGCTACTTCGCACAGTGCAGCTACCCGTCGTCCAGTCGATTCGCGGGTTATACCGTCGCAGACAATCACGTCCCAGTAAAATGTCGTGCCCGTCCAATGTCGTCGCGAGCATTTCCTGTGTAAACCCGAAGTTCCCCCCACAGCGGACTTTTACTCTCTCCACCTTCTCCCATATGGCCAGCGGCGTTCCGTCAACTAAGCGTGCGTCTATCTCCGGTAAACACCGACTTGTTAAGAAGAAAGAAGAAGGAAGAAGAGGGATGCACTAGCAAGAATGGGGATACAAATAGGAAACCCTAGAAGGGTTGTACTCGCTATAGAGCACCCCACTACAGGCTAGAGCATAAGATAACATTCTGACACACCCCCATAGCCAAAGTGGGGTGTAATCAGCAGAGTAAGCAAAGGAGTACAAGCTCAGGGTGGATCACAATGTCACCACACATTCTGAGCACAAGTTCAAGAAGCAATAGTTTAAGTTCACAATTATGAGCAAAGCTAGTGGTAGTCACAACGGGCAAGTGAGGAGGAGGAGAGAGAGTGAGAGGAGAGGAGATAGGAGGCGACGGCTGAAGCTGCAGACACACAGGCAACAGGAGGCAGACTGGCACAGCGGCTACCGGACGAAGTCCCCGGAATACAGGAGTAACAGGCCCCGCGGCTAAAGTAGCGGCAGACGAGCAACGGACCCACGGGCGGCTGGCACAGCTGGCTACGACTGGGCTACCGGACGAAGTCCCCGGAATACAGGTGCTGCTGGCGACACGACGGCAACCTCCGTTCAGCTTCCCCAAACTATCCCACTCCCCCCTGGCACATACCCGCTGCTACACCGCTAGCTCCACTCCCCCTTCACCCCCCCTTAGTACCACTCCACCGGCTCCAACACGTCCACCCCCCCTCAGCGGCAGCTGCAGCACAGGGAGACGGAGGAGGAGGAGGAGCAGGGAACAGTACACAGTGGGTGCACCCCCATACCCCGCACCCCCAAACCCTAATACAGGAGAATGGGGAGTAGGAGGGGTGGGGCACGA